GTTTGCTCAGCCTTGCCAGCAGAAACTTGTACTGCTGGGGAAAGTGATGTGTAGTTTGCAGAGAAATGTTAGCAGCTCTGAAGGTGGGCATCTGCTCAGTTTTATTTGATCATCTTCCTACAAGATCCTCAGGTCTAGTTCAGCTCAGGCTTTTCTAATGCCAGAAACAGTCAGTATCTCACAGGCTGTGTATGATTTACACTGCAGCTCTGTCTCTTGGGACCTATCACCATGGCTGTTGCCTGTTTTCAGCAGCTCATGAACAGGAAGATTTTGTACCTGAGGCATAAATAGCAAGAGAACTAAAACTTGCTTTTTTCTCTCCTGATTTTTTTTTTTTTTTTCCTATAGGATGAACTAATACATGAACTGAAGCAAACACTGAATGCAATCAAATTAGAAGAGAAAGGTGTTTATGTCCAGGCTTCTACTTTAGGCTCTTTAGAGGCATTACTTGAATTTCTTAAAACATCAGAAGTGCCAGTAAGTACTACTGTGCCATTGATTCTGTGTTTAGTCAGTAAACATTTCCTTTTCACTCAGAGATTAGTGACTTGATTTTTGTGGCTTTCTTCAACAGTATTCAGGAATTAATATAGGTCCTGTCCATAAAAAAGATGTTATGAAGGCATCAGTTATGTTGGAGCATGACCCACAGTGAGTACCCTTGCTTTCTGTGCTGATCAATGTGCAGTGGTGCCCGCTCTGGGTTTGCGGCGAGCCTGCTCAACTGTTGGGCTCGCTGTTCCCTGCAGGTACGCCGTCATTCTGGCCTTCGATGTGAGGATTGAACGGGACGCGCAGGAGATGGCTGACAGCTTAGGAGTTCGGATCTTTAGTGCTGAAATAATTTATCACTTATTTGATGCCTTCACAAAATATAGACAGGATTACAAAAAACAGAAACAAGAGGAATTCAAGTAAGTATGAGCAATTGCATTCTGGATGTTTCCCAAATAAGTGTCTCTCTGATTTTAGTATAAATGAAGCTGTATTTAACTACTTGTTTGCTTATTACTTAGCATATGGTTCTAATGGAATGGGAGGAGAGAAGATGGTAGGACAATAAATTGATAGTTTTCAAGAATTCAGGGCTCCAGTCTAATTGTTTAGATCTGGATTAGGCCTAGTAGGGTGAGAGCTATGAAAGCTGTGCAGTAGATGCAGTAGATTCAGCTAGAACAGTTGTGTAATATGGAGTGTTTTTATTAGTTTGCTTTCTATACTTGGCTTCTCTTCCTAGATTGTGGCAGATGGGTTAGTCTTGCAGAGTTAAAAAACAAAACTAAAAGGATTTGGATTCTATTGTTTCATATTCATGTGATCCCAGTGTAGAGGGCTTAATTCTGACTGCAGTAACATGAATATGTGATCATTCAAGGATTTATAGGGACCCAAAATTAATTTTTGGAATTCTGTGTCATTGGGTGGCCTTCAGTAAAATAAGGACAGTGAAAATAAATGAAAATGTATTTAGTTTCATATTGACCCCAACTTGAGTTTGTTTAGCTCAGCTTTTAAATGTATTTGTTCACTTGGTAAAAAAAAAAGAACTTGAAATTCTGGAGTTCAGGCAGCAATATTTCTATTCTGTGTTCTTGTGAGGCTGTAATTACACTGAAAAATTACTACTCCTTTGGTCTTGGTCGAAGTTGAGCGCTCAAGCCTGTCAAATTAAAATCCATGCCAGGCATGAATGATTATTACTCCCTGTAGTTCTTGAAGAACAGGTATGGACTAGAATTGGCAAGATTGGAAAAGAGGTTTTTTCCTGCTTTTTTCCAAGTAACACTCCTAGAATGAATGCCCATGAAGTGTGGGAGAAGGCAGAACTGTTAATGTTACACTGGAACAGTGGATGTATCTTTCAAAGTGCCTTTTCTTGTCATCTTCCAGGCATATAGCAGTGTTTCCATGCAAGTTGAAAATACTTCCTCAGTTCATTTTCAACTCTCGTGACCCAATAGTGATGGGTGTTGTGGTGGAGGCCGGCCAGGTGAAGCAGGGGACTCCTATGTGTGTACCTAGCAAAAATGTAAGTAAGGGTCTCTTCCCACTGCATGTTTGATGCAGCTGGTAGTTCCTGGGATGATGCACCATGGAGTGCTTGCATGCTTTTCCTCAGTGCACAGATTGTTGGTGGGAAGTGAGGGTCAGACTTGCAGATCAAGTCTTTCTTCTGGTGCTCAAATCTCTCACTGCTTTCTGCTAGAAGAGTTGAGCTCTGAGCAGGGCACAGGAAGTGTGGCTGGAGGGCACCTGCCAGTTCTGTGCTGTGGTATTGAGTAATGGGCAAAATTGTCCTACCTGGAAGCTAAAAAAGGGGAGAACCAAGTCTTGACATTTTAAGGGCTAAACGTTGACATCCCAGTTGAGCTGTGGGAGGTTGGTGTCCCAGCACTTGCTGTGCTGTACATTTTGCCTGCCTGTGCTGAGGCGGCAGCTCTGCCAGTGCCGCTCTTCCTGCAGCAAGTCTGTGCCTACAAACAGGAGTTTAGAGAAGGGTGCATGCACAGAGCTTTGGTGGATGTGTTACAGCTGCCTCATTGTATTACAGTTTGTTGAAATTGGAATAGTTACAAGTATTGAAATAAACCACAAACCAGTGGATGTTGCAAAGAAAGGCCAAGAAGTTTGTGTTAAAATAGAACCTATTCCTGGGGAATCACCTAAAATGTATGGACGACATTTTGAAGCAACAGATATCCTCGTCAGCAAGGTAAGAGCAATCTGCATTTGTGGAGAGGGCTTAGGACAGAGTGGCAGCTTGCTTGAAGTGGAAATGTAGCATGAAGCCTCAAAAACAGGGAAGGAGCCTTCTGTCACAGACTGACATTCACTTGGGAGGGTGTGTGTGGCATCGTGGAGCCCAGGTCTCTGGAGCCATGGTTTGTGGATTGTAGTGGTGCCCCTGCAGCTCAGAGCACCTGAGAGGGCAAAATGCCACACTCACTATTTGCCAACTGTTTGTACACAGCTCAGCAGTCCCCCAGGGCACCACAGCCTGTGCTTGAAATTGCACAACGAATAGCAATCCTCCAGTTGCTCAGACTGTGGGGCACTGGGCTTGAATGAGGAGATGATCCTTTGCTCCATCTTTTGCCGTTGGAAGTAAAGCCCCAGCTGTCCACCTTCCCAACTGCTTTATTCACCATGCCATAGGACACCTCCTGCCACACACGTGCTGGGGGCGTGTGCCCACAAATGAAGGGCCTGGGATAGGGACAGGCTGGGGTGCTGGTCCTGTAGGCCCTGGTGGAAGCAGGAGACGTCTCCAATCCTTGCATTACTGCATAAGGAGTGGGATGGTCTGTCCAGCTGCAGCCCCTCTAGACCAGATAGGGGACACAGTGTGAGGAGAAATGAAGGGAAACAAATAGATTGGGTCATTCAGCTGATCAGCAGCAAATGGGGGCTTAGAATGAGTTTACCTGGTGTGCAGACTGCCCTTTCTTCAGAACAATTTTCCAGTGTGCTGAAGGCTGCTGTTATTTCCTGTGTTTCTGATGGTTTGTCTCGTGTGTTGCAGATCAGCCGTCAGTCCATCGATGCTCTGAAGGACTGGTTCAGGGATGAGATGCAGAAGTCTGACTGGCAGCTTATAGTAGAACTGAAGAAAGTGTTTGAAATCATCTAGATAACTTTGACAGCAATGGGGAGGCAGGAATAAACGCACTCTTCCTGTTACTAAAAAAGTTACCAACAAAGTCCTATATTGAAGACAGTGTTGGATATATGTTTGGGAGGAAAATATGTGGATAAAATGTTTTCCATGAGAAACCAAGAAATTTACACTGGTTTGACAGTGCTCAATTTACATGTTCCCATGGTTCCAATGTGCCTGTTCACCTCTCCTACTTCCCTTCCTAATACTGGCTGCTGTTTTAAAGTTTGCCCTTCCTTCTCTTACACCTTCCTTCCACCCTTTTCCCCTCCTTCTCTCCAAAATAAAATAAATTGAATTTTTATTACAGAACTAAAGCTCTTTCACTTTTATACTGATGAGAGCAGTACTGCAGTATTTGATTAACCAAGCTTCTGCAGACTTTGTGATTCTTGGGACATTTTTGATGTAAGAAATACTTCTTTATTTATGCATACCTCTTTCCTTGACTTTCTTTTCCAACATTCTTCTGCTTTGTGCCTATAGAGTTTTTTTAAATAGAAAATTAGGCATTTGGGTATCTCTGTATTTGCTTTGTGTGAAACAATGTTGTAAAGCATAGCTGCCCACCTTTTACTGCTTGTACAGTTCATGGAAGTCAACCTGTAATCATTATAATGCAGAGCCACAAATAAAGGAGATGGACATAGCAGCCCATTTGTTTTACAGTTTGCTTCAGTAATCAAAATTTCACTTCATGGGCTGTGGCAAATGTGGAAAGGCCAGGCAGGGGTCCTCTTGCCTCCCTCTGCTTGGCAAAAGGGTGGAGGCTGTTCCAGCCAACGCGTTTCCTCCTCAGAATGCACTTCCTGTGTGCGCCAGGTGGTGACGTCAGTGTTCCCGAGGCGCGGGGGGGACAGGCCAGGTGTTCAGCACGGCACAGCTCCCGGAGGTCAGAGCTGGCATCTCTTCTCCAGCTGCTGCTCAGGGGTGTGAGCACCTGCCAACAGCTGCCGGCCGGGAGCTGTGACTTTGGATGCTGCATCACAGCCGTGGAGTCACCTGACAGCGAGGGACTGAACCAGCTCCAGCCTGGATGTTTGTGATGACCAGGAGTCAGTCTGTAATCCCAGCATTTTCCTTGCCCCCCTTACCCTCTGCCTCCCTGCCTGGGATGACAGCTTGATGTATTCTTTCTGAGGCTGTCTCTGGGTAACTCACAGCTCATGCTGCTGGGAGCAAGACGTTCTTCAAAAGCACAAGCTGAAACAAAATCAAGGATCGTTTATGCAGCTGAGATTTTTAGCATTTAAGATACTTACAAGAGTTTAACATTCAACACACAGTTTGATCAGATTTCTTCTGTCACTTGAATTACTTTTTTTTTTTTTGTTGGAAAAATCTGAATGTTATGATTGAGACTATGTGGACTCCATTACAAAGGAACATTTAGTAACTCACCTCCTTTGCAAATGGAATTTAACTTTCTGGATTTTTTTTTGTTAGACTTTAAACTTGCCATTGGAAAGGACCTTTTCACTATGGTTGGTGTGTGGTGCAACTTCCCATCAGTGGGTGAACACAATGGTCAGAGGGAGGAGACTGCATTTAATTGTTAAAATTTTCTTTTGCAAACTATGCAATCATGAAAATTACACTAATAAAAAGTTCTTAAGAACACAGACGTCAAAGAGTGTGGTCAACGTATTCTTCTTTGTTCCCTCAAATCCGTAAGGGTGTTCTTCGCATAGGTAAAAACTGCAGGAAACAGATATGCTCCTTTGGCAGGTTCCTGTTCTGGAACTTAAAGCAGCCTTCCCGTTAATTAATGCTGAGTCCTTTTGAAGATGCCAGCTGTACATCTGTCTGAGTGCCAGTTCCAAGAGCAGGGCTGAACCCGAAACCTCACTGGTAAAACACCTGCTTGAGTTCCAGCAATACCTGCCTGGCTGAGAGCAGTTGAGGTGCTGGTTTATCTAACCAAGGCGAAAAGGCAGCTTCAAAAGCAGGAACTGAAGGGGCTCCAAGAGACCCAACCTAGAAACCAAGAGGTTCAGACAATGCCCATCTCTCTAGACATGTATCAATGACTGGATGCAAGGAAATGAGCACCATCAGGTGTTATCCACCTGGCTCAGCCCCCCAGCCTGCTCAAGGTCCCCGCTGTCTCAGCCCTCCTCGTGCTGTGGGAGAAGCTCCGCTCCCATGGGCACCACTGGGCCTGTGTTTGGGAGTTGCCCTGTGCCTCTCTCCTATGGAGGGGCCCAGCACTGGGCTCAGCACTGCTGCTGCTGCCCCTCACCAGTGCTGAGCAGAGGGAACAAGCTCCTGCCTTGACTCCTGGGGATCTTCCTCCTGCCCAGGCCTTACTGCAGAGCTGGCCCCTCCCTCCCTGGGAGCAGAACCTGGCACCTCTGTGCTGAACTTCACGGGGTTCCCAGCACCGCCTGGGTCCCTGGAAGCAGCGCCCCCAGCCTCTCAGAAACGTGCTGAGGCTGCACCACGCCTTGCCCGGGTCCTTAACAAAGGTGATGAATGGGACTGGACCTGGTCCTGGCTCTGGGTTCCACTTGGGCCCGGCCCCTAACAGCGCTTTGTACCAGTGACTGCCCAGTTTTCAGTGAACTTCCCTCTCCAGCCTGCACTACATCAGCTTCTCCCTGAGGATGGTACAGGAGATTTAACGAGAAGCCATACTGAAGTCAAGGGAACTGACATCTGCCCTTTCCTCATCCATCACCTGGCTGTAGAGGTTGGTACCTCTGCCAGTGTGTGGCAGGAGGAAGCCAAGGTCACACCTAAAGCTAAAACCCTGCTGTCACTGCTGTAAGCTGTGCTGCAGATGTACCACACAGCTTTCTCTGCCCCAGCTGTACTGGCAGCAGCTGCAGCAGCACCTGCCCTGTGCTAGGCAAGGTGCTTCCATTTAAGCCAGTGGTGCAAATACTGCTCCAGGGTTATCTCCAGCTTGCATTCCTGAAATTCTATGCCCAGCATTATGTGGGATACTTCTCACCTTCCCCCATCATTTCTTCAGCAGAGATTTTTCTTACCAACTTGGTTTTTGTCAAGTGCTCTTCATTCTCTCCAGGTCCCTGAACAGCCTTGTTCAACATATTGGGCCAAATACAACTGTGTGAGGCTGGTGCACACCTGCAAAAACTAGAGTTGCCCAAAACATGAACTGCAGGGATGCAAGCTCACCCTCCAAGCAGGGACAGAGTGATGGGATGGTTTATTTTGTCTCAGCTGCTCCCAACAACCTATTTTGTTATGCTGCACGAAGGAAATGCGTGCCACAGGCTGGGGAGAACGGTGGTGTTTCACACGTGGCTCTGTCTTGAGTAGGAGCAAGGCAGAGGATGGATGCAGGCTTGACCAGTGCTCCGTGCTGGCTACTCCCCGCTCCTTTACAGTGCTACTTTGGGGTGACTTGCCTTCCTCCAGAAGCACGTGAGAGGGGAGAGGACACCCAAGGTCAGACAGCACCCAGGCTTCAGCTGACATCCTGTGTGCTTCAGGACTGGCTGGGCCACCCTGGCTTGAGTCTTTGAAGGATGAAACTGAAAATGAACTAATATTCTTCCCTCAGCTTAAAATCTGTAATAAAGTTAGTGAAGAAGAAACAAAAGTGGCCAGGTGCCTGTACAGCAGCCTCCTCCATGTGCTGAGGGAGGCAGTGCCACTGTGTAAAACTTTGTGAAATGAATCAAAGCTGCAGCTTTAGTTAAAGGGGTTCACTATATTCAAACTGAAGCATCACAAAATAGAATCAGTACAAAAATATACATACAGTTCTTTATTAAACAACTGTAAACACTTCACTGTAAAAATCCATAAAACTTTATAAACAAACATTTTGTAAATAGATTCTATACTACAATAAAAGAATTTTAACACAATTATTTACATGCAATACTGACAAATTTGGCACTTTCTGAAAAGAAATGTACAAAACACTTTGTTGTTTAAAAAGAAATTTGAAATTATAAAAACTCAGGGCATTACTATCATGCACTTTGCAAATACCTCACAAGCACTTATGGCACAGCTAGCAGAGAGCTCCAGGCTCTCATCAAGCTCTTTACTACAAGTTCAGATAACTTTTAATGTGCTTCCGTAAGTTTGTTGTAAAACTACCTGAACATTGTCAAGAATGAAGTCAAATGCCATATTCCAAACTGACTCCACAGATGACTGCATCAACCTGAGGGGGAAAAGGAAGAAGAGGCTGAAAATTACCATTACAGAACCAGTCCTTTTTACAATCACTTTTGGTCTTCACACTGGAAAACAAGATCACAACAGTTTCTCACGAATGGAATTTTGATTCAGTCCTGGTAAAGCCCTCCCTCTCTACTAAAACACACCAAGCCTTACTTAACAGCACGAATTCCTGGTGTGAGCAGTGTCACAGCAGCTTCTGAATGCTGGCACCTGGCAGTGGTGTGAGCCTCTGAATTAAGGGGTGGGTGACCTTCCACCAACTGCATACTGAAGAACAGAAATGGCAAGCTTCTGAATCCTGATCTTTACTTCCTCATCCCAAGACAGAGATGCTATTTCTCTATTTCTAATAAATGCCAAGTGCAATCAGGACATTTAAATAATAGGGTTTGGGGCACTGTATTATTTTTATATATTCATTTTTTTATTTTTTATATTTATTGGTAAAAACAAAATCCACAGAGAACTACGAGTTCCCCCTATGATGTGAGTTACTCTTATGATCAGCAGCTACAAGAAGTGAATGAAGGAACTGCCCAAGGAAAACAAAGCAGCTCTGCACTCTCAGTCTCCCTTCTAGATCCCTGTACTGCAGGAGAGCAGAGGGTTCCCACACTCAGAGCTCTGGAAGGTGTAACATCATGGGTGAGTGTGAACCCTTTGGACAGACACACTGCCATCAATGCAGATCCAACACACAGGGACCAGGAATGGGACATTCTGACAACCCTGAAGAGTTTTATAAACAATTTACTATACAGATTTTATGAAATAGCTCATTGCACTGTGTATTTTGCATTTTCCAAGGCCTAAAGATATCCCATAATACAAAAGTCCAGTGAACTTTCTACACTTCTGTAGTCTTTTTGGTTTTGATTCATTGTGTGAAACGTACTTTGCAGATCTAAAACCTAGAAAGCTGAGCCCTCATGGTTAAGCTTTAGTTAGTAAGCAAGTCATAAATGGATTAAAACCTCGTAACTCATGGGAAGAGTAATAGGAGCACAACAACAAAGTAACAGGAATGGATTTAAAGGCTGGATGTGAGACAGAGCCTGGATACAGCAAGAGAATGGAATTGGGTCTAAAGATGCCATGAAAAAATGAGTAAAAACAGGATGAAGAAAAGGGACAATGCTGATGAAAACTACCATCTTTTTCTAGAAATTGCTGCCCAGAGAAGCAATGAATTCCCCAGCCCTGAAGTGTTCAAGGCCAGGCTGGATGGAGCTCTGAGCAACCTGGTCAAGTGGAAGAAGTTCCTGCCCATGACAGGGGAGTTGGGCCTGAGTGATCTTTAGGCTCCCTTTCAACCCAAACCATTCAGAGATTCTACGAATTACTACTAAATATTACTCTTAATTTTTCACAAATTACCTATTTTAACACTCCAACTCCTTCCCTCAACCCCAGTTTTCAAGCTTAAAACCACTCATCAGTGGAATGTCTAATGGGTTAATGGGCTCACAATGCAGCATCTAGTGTATAAATTCTAACAAAAATAGTCTGAAGTTCACAAATACTAGCAATTAAGTTACCTTTTCATGTACTTAACAACCAGATCTAACTTTTCCAAGTCTTTTTCTTCTATTAGATCAGTACAGTATTTCACAACCTGTAGTATGTCTTCTTCCATAGGATCTATAATAAAAAAAATTTTAAATGAGGTCTTTTCTCCAAGTATACTTAGAACATAATCACAGAATAATGGGAATACAATAGAAAGAATTTCTGCAGTGTCAGCACATCAGGGGCCAACTTGACAATTTCTGTACTCTCACACATCTTCCTGACATCAGAAGCTGTGCACATAACAGGACTGCAGGGTCCTGAAATACCTGTCTTGTAGACATCTTTTTTTTCAGTAAGAACAACAGACAGCAAAGCTAGCAGTAACCAAAGGGTAAAGAGACTGGGTTTTAGAATGCAATGGCTGTTTTGAAACTCTTAGGAGAATAATAATGTCTAGGGCAGGCAGGTCAAATTTCCCAAGGTTTGAAGGAGTTGCTATTCATTTGACCTAATTCAAATCACAATTTAGCAAGAGTGTCACAGTTGCACAGGTTTTGGGTTTGTTTTTTTTTTTTTTTTTTTTATCTAGTGTTCTTCCCAGCATTTATTTTGACAAAACCCCCAAACTCTGCACTCCTTTGCCTCTAAGAAGAGATCTTCAGAGAAGAAATTAATTCCCTTTCAAGAACTTTCATCTTAGGGGTTGCGATATGTTGGAAAAACACAGTAAACCTCAGACCCAAGTAACACCAAGGCACAGGACAATGGCCAGACACATGGCTTGAAGAAGATCATGTTACTTTTCATGATGCTAAGAGGAGCTGGCAAAGCCACAGAGTAACAACTGGTAGAAAGAATCAAGTTTTTCCAAGACTGCCAAGGCAGTAAGACTTCGAGACTACTGTGAAAAATAAGCAGCAAAAGGAAGAGTGAAGGAGAAAGGAAGTACAAAAAGCCTACTGAAAGCAGTTTTGTGACGCACTGCAAGATCACCCAGTGTGACATCCCTCACCTGAGATAGTTGTGATCCACTCTTTCAACAACGTCTTCACATCGTTGAATTCCACAGCTCCAGCGAGGTTTGGGGCCTGTGGCCTGAAGGAGCCCGGCTGCTGCTCCGTCTGCAGAGCTGATGGGCCCGGGGAATCCGAAGTTGATGGAACTGCTTCTGCCTGTCCCAAACATGGAAGTGGATAATGCTCAGTATGACAAATATGGGAACACCATATACATACAGAGGGAAGTGTCAGTGAAGAATCCAGTGAAGAAGAATAGCAACCTGAACTCAGTCTAAAGAAGCAGACACAGCTTTACCAAAAGTTGTTCGTGTTAAAAGTACCTGAGCAGCTGTTCCTTCTTGTTTCAAAAAGCCATCTATTAGCTTCTGTGGGCTTCCAGATGCAGCTGGCACGTTTTTTGCAGGACTACCAATAAGTTTGTTTTTCAAAGGACTCTGAATCTTTTTCACAGGACTGACTGGATTTTTTTTTCGTATTTTTTTCTTATTTTTCATAGTTGTATTCTTCAGGTGTAGGAAAGGATTTTTTGACACTGAAAAACACAGGAATAGTCAGTGGTTGACACATTTAAAATTTAATACTTCTCCATCGAAAGGGGACTCTGTATCTCTCACAAAAATCTAATGATCACTTAAGAAAACACAGCCTAGATAAAGCAACTTCAACACACACACCATTGCATATTTGAAAAGCACTGTTAGACTTTCAGTGTATGCCGAGGACACTCAGCTATTCATAAGCTTTTTAATGTGAGCATTTCAGTACTTGAATGCTCACATTAAGCAGCTGGTGAAATCTGAATCTCCTGGACAAACTGCCTCACCTCAGTCAGAGCACTGTCCCAGCAGTGTTAGCAGCAAAGCCAGCAGTGTAAAGCCCCCACAATGCTTTTATCACAGTTTATGAAGGAAATGTCTCTCATTCCATCATTCTAACATATCTGCATTAATCCACTGGCTATGAAATCAGGGTGTGATTATAATTACAATGCAGTGTTTAACTGGCAATCAAGCCAATAACATTTACAACCTACTTTTATGACAAAGCATGCTCACAGGGAATTAGTCTTATTTCTTTCTACTGATTATAAAAAGGAGACCTGGATGATCAGCCCAGAGTAAACCCAGCTGACTGTCAGACATTCAGTGAGATGCAGGGTATCTTTCTCTAGCTGCCCCAAAACCCTGCCAGTGCTATGGGTTTCAGGGAACCATGAGAATGCTCCCTGAAAAGAGTTTAATTAACTTAAGAAAGTGCAATACTTTAAATCACAAGACACATCAAGTTTGGATTCCATTTGGCAAACATATGGATGTGGGGAAGCTTAGTGCCACAGCCCTCATGAATTGAATTAATCGTTCATTTGAGTAAAGCTGGGCACCTGTTTGCAAACTGAAACCACAGCTGGTTCTAACTGACAGTCTGTCAAAAATAAATACAGAGATTCAGTTCAACACAGCGTCTTCAGAGAAGCTTTGGTTGTATTTTCCAGTTTGTTACTTAGGGTTGCATAGCTGTTTGGAGAGCAAACAACCTCCTATACCAGAAGACTACTACACAACTACGTATTCTCACCTAAAGTGTTAGCAGGCTGCTGCTCTGATTGCTTCTGCCTTTGATCATATGCATCTTTCAGCTCTGCTTGCAACTCAGCAGGTAGTGCAGAAAAAACCTCAGGGTCCACCTGAACAGTAACAAAAGATTAATTTGATTATTTTAGCAGTGTGCAGCCCCATTTGCTTCTTTCTAGGTCACTCACATGAGAAAGGTATTTACATTTTATGCCAAGCAAAAATAAAAGAGATATAACTGAAATACTGTAAAGCACATAGTACATTTTCTTTGTATATTTTAGTTGGTAAAACCAACAAAATGGACATTTAATATTACTCTATTTATTAAAATTACTATTATGAGCATATAATGCACTAACCATCTTTACCCACCTATTGATACCCAGTTCAGCTGCGTTAAGAGCAAGATTAAGCCTAACCCAGAGAGCACTCCCTTCAAATTTCAAAACACAAACATTGTGACCACCACAATTTTGTTCCTCCTTTTCTTCTGATACTTCTATTTCCTGCAAGCTGATATATAACTCAGAATATTCTTGGAAATGGTATCAGTTCTTTAAGGACAGGAAAAGCCAAGTCCAGCTATGTCATATTTTGAATTAGCACAAAAGGGTTTAATCTTTCTAACAAAGCTGTCCACCACTTGCTTGACTGATAAAAGCACAGTTCCTTGCAACTGTCCCAGGGACTTGGATTCTAGATAGGAAATAATTTGATGCCAATTGCCAGACACACTCATATGGGCAAAATAAAATTTCTTGTATTATCAGTTATTTTTTTCTCATTGCACATCTGAAGTAGCCCATCAGTGACAGACTCATCTTGTTTTGGAGTTTTCCATTATAATTAGACAACGTTTTCAATTCATAATCTTCAAAATCTAATTCAAAGCAAAGCTATCATTTAGTGGATTAAATCTGTCAGTGGGAGAGAGTGCCCTTCATTTCACTGGTAAAATTCAGAGATGAACAGAAACAACAAAAAATTGGTCAAAACTACAATTACTATGCTAAGAGTACAATGCAATTTCTATCATTATGTGAGATACTGTTTTATTACATGTCAGTCTGCAAAGGTATTAAAATTTATCTCTTATTTTCAATAGAGATTTCTTTTTTTTTAAACCAAAACACGTATGCTATGTCAGGGAGGTACAGTGTGCTATTCACACACATGATGTCTAAATAATACAGATCATAAACACGACTGTGCTCTTACAGGTTAGAATTCATCAATTTAGCACAAGTTTGTTTCTTTTTCAGAACTCCATGAGTCAACTTGAATTTTTCACCACACAGAATGTGTACTAATTGAAGGAGGAAACAGGAACAGCTCTGACCTCAATTACCATATACATTGTGCAGAAAAAAGCACTATAGTGAAATGCAGCCAATGACATCACAGGTGTAAGTTATCTTTTTAAGTACAAATTTCACTTCATAAAACTTTTTTTAAAAGTTTAGTGCTCTGTGGTAAAGCATTCGACAGTCAAGGATTTGGAATGCTCGGAATTGACACTGTTTTTTGTGTACACCACTTATTTAATGCAGAAATAATGCAGTACATGAACTGGATACATTTTTATTATTCGCCCATCACTGCTCTCTCAGATGTAACATGGAAAAATTCAATTAAAGGAGCCATCAGTTGAATTCACATGAATTGTCTAATATAACTGGAGTTTCAAGTAACTTTTGCACAATGTCCTAACACTGTCACACAGGTATCTGAAAGCTTTCACATTTTGGACAACCTTAGTTTTACAGAGTTATGGGTGACCTCAGCATATACAGTTATCAGTATTTCTGACGTGCTTGTATCAATTTCCTTAGGAGGAATCTGTACCACGTGAAGACACTGTAAGGATTAAATGAAATCTTGCCACCACTAATTAACACCATTATTACAAATGTCATCCATTTCTATGCATCTGTAATCTTTATGTTTTGCATCCTATGCTTCTGCAGGATCCAGGCTACAGAGATATACAGCTATTCTACATTTTAAGATTACTTCAGCAACTGATGGAAAGGAATGCAACCTATCTGGATTCCTTTCACAGGAGAACTTTACCTCACAAAGGAAATTTTCCACGTGTTTTCTAATGAATAAATCACTGTCAGCCAATTAGCTTTGCACCTGATCATAAAACTCAGCTCAGACAAAAGGAATGAAGAGCTGCAAAACAAACCTTATTAAGCTATGAAAAGATGGCAGGGTGTAATCTACATCTGATGTAGATAAAGTACTCATTCTGGAGTGGTTGGCAGGATTTCTATACCCAAAACCTATTACTACTCATTTCCCTGCTTCATGGGCCATGAGGTAGATTTAAATGTTTGTGTGCAGTCATAGCATATACACTACCACAAAGACTTCAAGAGAAAAAATGTGTCAAACTATATTTAGAGTAAGATGGTATTTTTGAAGCAAGTTCATGTTTGATTTTAACACTGAAAAAATTCCTCCTGTATTAACGAACTGGGTTTAGCCTTTTTTTTTCCCACCAAGCTACAGGAAGCTTTTCAACCATACTATTCTAGACATTAAACTTGGACCTAACTCACAAAATGAAAATTGTAAATATTAGTCCTCTTTTTGCCAATAAAGAAAGCAGAATGGCTTTCAGAAAAAAAAAAAGAGTATGAGCATAAGGCACTCTCATCTAGATTGTATGGACATCCTTCACAAATAAATAGGAAGTACTCAATTCTTCTTGAACTACATCTTCAAACAAAAAGGCTTTTCCACTAAGTTGTATTTTTGGATCAAGTAACTGGGCCACAAAATACATTAGTAGATAGAGACAAAAAACCAATGCAAAACACTATTGCAAACTAGGTCCTTTGAAGGAAAACTTCAAAAAGTAATGCTGTTTTAAAAAATAACAATCAATTCTCAACTACCTAATTATTAGACAGATAGAGCATAAAAAAACTAAAAGGAATTTTTATAGAAAGCCACATGCAGTTGCCATTTACTCTGAAAAACAGTACTGAGTGGCAAGCCAAGTGTGGAGGGGTGCACTTCAGAGCACAGCCTAACTTAACACACATCTTGCTTATGGACAGATGTAACTGAAAATTTAAAACAGCTGGGGCAGAGAGAACTCAGATATTATTTGCACACTAATCCATAAGGGAAACGAAACTTTGCAGTTCAGGAATAAAAACTGACACAATTGTTTCTGAACAAATGAACTTGAATCAAGGTGAGGAAGTTACAGTAAAAGAATCGACAACACATTTTTTAAAATAACAATTATGCATTAACTAGTGGAATTTCTACATTCTTTTCTCTACATTTTTTGTTAGCTAAGCAACATTATGCATTAGAAACAGCAACAAATATCTCTAAATGTGATTAAGTGGTATTACTTCATTTGAGAACAGCAAAAGTGCAATGAAACAAAAATAAAAACACTGCTCCATTTTAAATGATGCAATGCAAGATAGTGCATCTCTGGGTAATCCAATCTTTGATCTTTAATATTTTTTTTTCTTTTGATTTTTCAACTACTTTTTCCAGCACCTGCTTGGACTAAAGAACAGACTAACATTAGAAGCATCCTTACTGTTCCCTGCTGCCCTTTTCCTATTTTATATTTATAGGTCCCTATTTTGGCAAACATCTTTGTTCTTTTCTCATCCTGGACACACTATGCATTTAAAAAACTATGGAGATATGCACAACCGTTAGCCACGACTGCCCTCCTCTCAGGAATGGGATACAAACAAACACATCTACAGAAGAAGCTAGCAGAGGCTGGCTTTACCCCATCAGAACACACACTTAAACAGAGTCTCTTGTGACTTAGCTAAGTAGATTTTAGGACTGCTTCAAGACTTTCGGTTCAGTGTAACTCAGCTGCAATATAGAAAAAAAGCTATTTACAGACTGGATTGCAAAGCAGACCATATATGAAGGGGTTTTACATTAAGCAACAGCAAACACATAGGCAGACTGACTATAATCGTCAATAAATATTACCATACTATGTTTCTGACAGATAATGTAACACTTAAAAACAGATTTTTAAAAGACATTAAAAGACCATGAATGATTTATTTTGGGAAGTCACAGGTTCCAGTTAATGCTGTCTCAAGAAAGAGCTTCTAACTTCCTACAGATGAAAAGTAATTGTTAATTGATACCATGCAAACATCCTACCTGTGAGAAAGCTGGCAAGGCTATTACATTGATTCCCATATTGGTATTTGGTTCTTGGAGCTCTGGTATTTGTAAAAGCACTGTTCCAATTGGCTGTGACAGAAGGGCAGTGTTACATCCATTTATTGGCTCTTTTTTGCTCTCTCCGTAACTCTCTCCTTGCTGAATGGTGCATATTTGCTCTACTTGCTCTCGGAGATCAGGTGGCAGAGCTTCCAGCACAGACTTATCTAGCTACAAGTACATAAAAGCTTTTAGATTTTTCTAAGGAATAGGTAACAGAGCTATTTTATTATACAGTTCCTGAATTTTACAAAACCTGCTACATATTACCCTGTGTATGCAAACATCCTTAGGAACCTGAGAGTTACACTCTGCAGCAGTAAAGTATCATTTAAGACCTAGCAGCTCAGTAAATACGAATGCTCAGTGTTATCTTTTCACAATGTTCAGTTTTCTTACCAAAAAACATAGATAGGGTTTCCTCTACAGCTACCTAATGATAAAGTAACCTGAATTCTGAGTTCAAATTATACAGGCAACAGGTTGATATGAATACTAACCTGGCATCCAGCACAAAGCTGTAAGCAATTAATTTCTTTTTTTGTATAATTCTAGGGTGCATGTTACTGATTTACTTTATTGGTATTATGTATGTTTGTATACTGTCAGACTTGCCAGAGCTGGATGATGAAGTAAGCTTTTACTTACTATCAATTATTCACCTGAAACAACTGAGATAGCCCCTCAGTGTCCAGAAGCTGCTGTGTACAATGACAGCTGCACAAGTGACTGAATGAATGCAACTGACAAGCAGACGTACAGCATCATTTTTTTTCAAAGTAAAATTTGAATATATAGAAAAATGCCAATGTTTGCCTCTAAGTTCTGCTGAGTAAGACTTCAGCTGTGTAAAAGAATAATTTATCTTTTACTTTTAAGAAGAAAATTCGGAGCTTATGACCACATTCTGGATTTACAGAGAAGAACCACAAATATCTATGAAATTCTACTTGGCTTGGTAACTGAGAGGTTTTGATGAAAGCTGTATGTATTGTTAATCACTTCAGTTACTCTTCCATGTTCTGTTTGTATTCACTCATTCCAAATTTGCTGCATATGTAACTATAATAAATTCCTGGGAATTCTGGGTGTAAAACACCCAGGATTGCTATTACTTTCCTAGTACAGTATACAAACAGCAGTGTGGCACTAACTCTCACCACTCCTTCCCAGCCCTGAATTTTTTATTACATTCCATATTATAATATGATTAAAAGCAGAAATAAAGATATTGTGCCATAAGGCCATCAAAGTAGGAACTCTGCTGAACAGCTAGTGCATTTTTCACTTGTTTATATCTGAATGTACAGAGCTTTTGATTGTTCAGTCAAGTTACTTTTAGATCCTGAGCTGGCTTGGATAAGGCATTATAGGAACACATTTCCTGCCAAAAGCATAATTTGCTTCTTAAAATGAATAAATATTTGAGAAAGCTGTTAAAAAACCACAGAAATGCTTTTACAGATTTAAATGACAGATATTTAAACGACAGATTTTTACAGAAGAGCAAGTAAGTCTGCTTATATCTAAAATACCTGCAGAAGTCTGTGCAGCTGTTTCATAGCAAATCTTTCTAGCAGAGTCTACTTGAACAGCACGGGCAGAAATAATGAAGGCTGTCCCTTTGTTAAAACACACCTAAAAAAAAAAATCCCCAAATCCCACAGAAATCTTCTACTTAAATAAAGATTGTCCTCCTCTCAATCTAAATGGTAGTATCCATTTGGTGGTACAAATGTTAAGTGTGCATCCTAACGTCAACATTATTTATTTTATTAAGGCAAAATATTTTTGCATCAATAAGAGTAACTTACTGTGCACTATACTTTACTAGAACTCTTTTTATTTAAAAAGAGCTCCTTTTTATAGGCAGAGTTATTCCCAAGTTATTACAATATACTGCAGATGTTTCACATTCTCAGGTTTACCTGGGAAGCAGATGGAACCTCAATACTCAAATTGAGCCTGGATTTTACACTGATAGGAGAATGCACACCATTCCACTTGACAGCAGGCTCGGCGTTGTTTGCATTAGAACTGACACCAGGTGTGACACTGGTACCACGAGATGGAAGGAAAGTGCAAGTTCTTGAATTAGAGGATATTTCAAGGTCCATAGCAGCCACAAATACTATACATATGGAAACAAAATACAGAGTGATCACCTAATAGTAAAAAATACTCTGAAGATTCAAGACACAGGAGAAGGTATTTTCTAGCATTATGTGAAGAGTTAATGCAATATGTAGCACCATCATAACACTTTTTATTTCAAACTATCCTCTGTTACTATTAACCAAAAAACTTAACAAAAAAACCCCTAATTGGACTAATCCTATACAAAGTTTTATCAGCAGCATTTTCATTTGCAGCAGCAAACCCCACTTTCAGAAATTTTATGTTGCACAATTTACACTGGTATAATACTGAAAAAGTATTCCAAAAGGTGATCTATGTTAGGGTCCTTCAGAACTGATCACTATCACACATGCCAAGTACAAAGCTTACTGACCTTCCTTAGGTTCTTCTTCTGAGTGCTTTTTTGCTTTCTGAACATGAAAAAGATCAATAACTGAATGTGATGCACCAGGTAAATGTCCAGATTGTACTGTTGAGAGAGCTGAAGTTGTTTTACTGATGGGAACTAGCTGCTGTACCTGAATTCCAACCTAAATCCAAAACATAAATGCATCCATTTAATGAAATTCTTTGAAATAAATAAAATTAATTTTGGGGGGGGGGGAGGACAAATAAAAATATATTGAAATACACATAAACAGCCACTAAAAACATCCCAAACAAATCCCAGGATTACCCACCATAATCCAACAACTAAGAAATTACAAAGGTACTACCATCTTAACTTCTCTGATATAAAAAAGTGCTGTCAACAGGATCATGAAGCAACGTGTTTTTTATGAAATTTCTTAGACACTAACAAATACAGAAATACTGACAAGAATGTGGGTTAGTATTAAAGTCTGGCTACCCAGCAATGCTTTTCCCCAAGGACAATCTATACTAAATGCATCACTTCAGTCTACAATTGAGAAAAATACTATTGTTTCACTTGTGAACACTGTTTTTGCAAAGTCTCAATGGAAGAAAGTACTTTGGTAGAAGTAGTCTTTTTTAGATGAGGTGTTCCTCATTTTTCAAGACATCCTAGATTTTCATTTCACTTTTAAATACCAAATCAGCAGTGGTTCAAAATGTGTCTAATTAAGAATGCACTGGTGCACTGTATGAGTTTTTTGCCAATCCTCCATAATTTTAAAGGAAAAAACTGACACTGAGAAAAAGTTGTATATGGGACTCAGAAAGCATGAAGGAGCCACTGTATATATTTCCACCAGGTTTTCTTCCATAATTACATAGTAAGGATTTTGTTTATTAACACCTTCTTAGTTGCAATAATGGAATATGACATTCAAATTAAATATTTCCTCAACTCCCAAGCCAGGGAGCTAACTTTCTAGGGCAACATTGTGAATCAAAACCCTATTTCTATATCCAGATGATGAATTAATGCAGGTTTGTTTTAGAAATCCTCTGTGTTCTATTGTAGCAAATGGCTGACGTCAAAATAGCAGCACCGTGGGGTCACATTGCTATGACAAAACCACTGAGATGAGCAGGAGTTCTAAAACAAGACATGAATCAAAATAGCCAGAAAACCACCTTCAAACAAAGGCTAAAACATGGCCTGGTAACTTTTCTTGCTCTAAGATTTGCATTCTAGAACAAAAGCTCCTTTTATCTCTATCTTTGGTTTGCATTACAAACAGTTATATATTAGTTTATATTAGTTACACAATTATTGTATGGCAAAAGTTTACAGAAAATTCTAAGACAAAATAAAACTTACACATGCTGACAGAACTGTACAAGATACACTCTTACTTTGTCACCTCAGGATGCTTTAAGTTGTGCATTAATTTATGTCACAAAAAATTATTTTTTTACATTTATGGCTTTGTAACCATGTTTTTCAAAGGTTAGAAAATATAATGTAACTGCATACACTAATTTACATAAGCTTTGTATTACCTACACTTTTGAATAAGTTTGGTTAACATCTACCATATGGAACTGAAAATCCACAAAAGACAGAAACAGGTTGATAAAGAGAATGAATTTCAGTTTTCCCATTAACTCACCCCTCGCATATCAGATATGTTCAGTTTCATTGTGTGAAACATGTTCAGAGTTTCCTTCCCAATTATTTTTGCACTGTCTGTTGCATGGTCTAGAGTCACAGTCCTAAAAAGAATGAACAAGTATGGTTAAAAAAGAATCTGTTTCACAAATCCTGAAGACAAAACTTCTGTATTTATTCCAGAGAGGACATGAAAGAAAGACAGATCATAATTTCTTGGCATATAGAAACGGAACACTTTTTATTCGTTCTGTGGTTTCTTTTTAAAGGTAGTTAAAACTAAACATGATCTACAGAAAAAATAAGAAAAGCAGAATACTTACTAACTGAACATTCTCAGTGTGCAGTCCACACACTAAAAGGTCAAATTTAGGACACACACACACACACATACACACACATATATATATATATATATGTATATATATGTACACACATACACACACATGCAATCTATTGAAGCCAGACAAAAATTTCACAAGTTTACAGTTTGCACAAAAACACACTCCTGCATTTTTGTCTTTCACTCAAGCTTGGTTCACAGAAAGTTTGGTCAGTATTATTTCCATTGTCAACAGCAAGAGTTTCAAAAGGAACTCAGAGGGGAAGCAGAAGTAGGCAATGTGCATGTGGATTACAAGCAGAAAGGAATTAAAATTAATGGCAATTAACTTTAAACAACATTCCAAATTATCTTAAGCTGTGGGCATTTTTTTGCAACAAGACTCACAAAACAATATGGCTGAGTTTTACAGATTACCACTTGAGAGTATGGCAGGGCAGCAGCAGTGCTTGGATAGCTCTGGATTCTCTAATGGCCTAACCTCTGACAAAATTTCAAGTGGCTCATCAAATGCATGTGAGTGATGTAAAGTCTTCTCACTGAAATAATTGATGCAGTTTTAATTCTGATAGAGCTCTGTCAAGAAAATGAAGTTTGGTGTTTTTACAGGGTGCCATCCTGACAACTTACTAAACACTTTGACGGTGTTACTCTGCTTTTGAATCTGTCAGAAACTATCATGAACAGCCAAGTGCTCTTTGGAAAGGGCTAGTTCTGTCAATATGAAAACAAAAAACCCTCAGACTGTAAACAATATAAAGATCTCCTTAAGCTTTACATGTTAGTACTCTTAAGAAAAAGGGGATCAACATCACTAAAAGTACACAACATTTCAGAAAAATATTTTAAAAAGGTCTGTGCTGAACTATCATGACTAGGTTTCAGAAATGCAGTAAAAATACCATTTAATCTCAAAAGCTGAGTTTGATTTTAAGTGTGTCTGCAAGTCTGAGTCCTTTGTAGTACTATGGTTATCATCCCAGGGGATCTTGACCTGTAGGATAAGAAAGCATAGCAAGCCATTCAACTGTGAGGTAAAGGAGCAAGAAATGAGTCGTGAGCTATAGCTACAGACAAAATCCTAAACTGGAGAGAGAAACTGGTCACTTGGGGGACCACCACACTGAGATTCTAATCCATTTACTTGGATTCAACTTTTGGAGTTTACCCTTCCACTGCTAAAAAGCTTTTTACTGGGCTGAACAGAAATGCTCTAACAAAGACAGAAATACACCACGTACAGCATAACCTGGATTGACTGGGGTTGACAAGGTCACTGGAAAGCCAGAAGCAGAAACAGAGACACCACCAAACAAAATCCTAGTATCTGGACAGCTTTAGCAATGTGTGAACAATTTTCCATTCTTGGGTGCCCCCTGACCTTACTGAAGACTTCATGAATTAGGGAAATTTCAGGGCATGAGTACATTAGTATGCTTGACCACAGAAAAGGGGTCCAAAAGCACCGATATGTTCATGAAAAAGCACGCTGCCAAGAGTTAAAATATGGGAGGAATAAAGCTCTATCTCAATGCACACTCAGTACTAAGATATGTTCTTAGGCTGTTAAGAATAAATCTTCAGGTCAAACAATTCAGGATAGCCAGAAGACAAAAGTATAGACTGAGGGATTTTCTTCTTGGTATATATACCAATTCTAGAAAGTGACGAGCTTCTTACGGCGAAACATGAATTTTGTAGTTTCTGCTTTTATTACAGCTGAATGCTATGTAACAAGATCACAAGCATGACAGGCTCTATGCATGCAAGTCTTACTACTGAACTCTAACCCACTGAAAGAACTCCTGGCCTCGTGGATAGTGCTATGCAGGGCCAGCACCTGGACTTGATGATCCCTGCGGGTTCCTTCCAACTCAGCGTATTCTGTGATCTGTGAACTCCACCACCTCTTCTGTTACCAGCAACACCCACCAAATGACCCCCCCCAGTTCAGGAGGGATTAGTCTGTTACAACCACCTGAGATGGAAGGAAAAGTAGAAAGACCTATCGTCTCCCAAAAGCCAGGATAATCCTGTACTGAAGAGCAACTGCTTTGATAAAGAAGAGTATGCCTGAAGAATATATGTGTATGTAGGTTCCATGACAATCTTGTACGAAACAGCATATGATATTCTATGCCTAGATTATATCCCTGTGTTTTTAGTATGCAAGGACATAAACAATATTCAGATTAAAAAATATTTAGTCAACATCATCCAGTTTATCAATAAGGAACAAAGAATTGGAGTCACAAATAGGAGGCTGGTTACTGAAAGAAATCAATGCTGCTGCATGTATTTCACAGCGCAGGACACAAATATGTCTCCTTCAAACACTCTAAGAAAACCCTCATCTCCAATACTGAGCAAGCTGGAGAAAGGTACACCAACAATACATAAGCACATATGTATTACTGATAACCACCTCAAATGTACAACCCAAACACAGAGGAGTTTTGATAATAATACTCTACTTATTTTGGTGCAAGTTTTATACGTAGACCAAGAAGTACCAGGCACTTTGAAATTTCTGTCGTGTCTTCCTATAAATTTTAGACCCTGCAGAAGTGTGTTCATGCCTAGTACTCACCTGGCAATATTATCACAGATTCCATGACCTCCATACTTTGCAGGCTCTACTGGTGCTCCAGCCTTTCTGACCATAATTTTAAGGGTCAATCGTTTACCCTTCATACCAGCAGCTTCAAGTCTACGCTGGATTTCTTCTGAGAGGCTCAGAAGGAAAGCTTCTGCTTCCTTAGGCTAAAGGGGAAAAACAACATGTTTAGATAATTACTACTTTTCAAATACTGAAAGTAAATCATTAAGGATTAATACAATCCAGATTGCACAAACTGAAAAGACTGCAAGCTGACTCACAAGCAATTGTCTCATTTAACTTCAAGTGGCTTGTTTTCACTGTAGGTCACTTAATTTAGGTGAAATGGTACATTCCTGTCCTAATGTTGAAAGAAGTCGTTTAAAAATGTATTTAGAAACCCCAACACAGAATTGCAAGTCTAAGCACAAACCTAGAAGACGAAGAGCATAGGACTTAAAATCTTTTTCACCATGAGGAAAGTCAAGCAATAGAACACGTTGCTCAGGGAAGTTTGCAGTCTTCGTTCTTGGAGATTTCTGATGCCGGACTGGATAAAGTGCCGAGCAACTGGTCTGATTTATTAGCTTCCCCTGCTCTGAGCAAAGGTCTGGACTACAGAACACTGTCAGGTCTCTTCAAACTCCTTTTTTCCCCTATCATTTCTATAAATACTCAATATCTCAAAAAAGTGCTGAGTTACTTCTAAAATACAATTTTGTTAATAACATTCCCCCCCAGACAAAAAGTAATTGCAAAAAAAATCTAATCAAAATGTTGTATGGGAGCAGCTGGTGATAGTTTCAGGCACTGGCATCTTTGAATAATCAGCATTTAAATGAAAGAGAATGCTAGGTGCTGACAAACCTACTGCAGTTCTCTTTTTCTGTACCAGACTTGTATAACGAATGCAGAATAGCCAGCTAATTTTGTGCAAGCTTCTTTTCAGTCCAATACTTTTGCAGTCTCTCCTCCCATTTTATCGTTTGGTCTCCTACTTCTTCATTTTCCTCATTTCTATTTCGTGGCTAAGATGGTGCTCTAACAGATCAAAGTGTAAGTGAAAATAATCAGAATATGAGAAGATTCTTCTACAGCTGAAAGAAGTCACTGGAAAAAAGAAGCAAGTTTAGTTTACCTGTGTAAACCTTATTCCATAGTTGATTTCTGCTGAAACAGATTTTCTTTCTTTTTCTGTACGAACAGGTCGGTCATCCAAACCACGACAGAATCTGTAGAGCATTTGTCCTGTTTTTGGACCAAATTCTTTTTGTAGTTTTGACATTGAAGCACACTGCAGATCTCCACAGGTTTTAATTCCCAAAGAAGCCAGCTTAGATTCCATTGTCCTGCCAACTCCTAACAACAAAGCAATTAGTTCTGTTAATCTTATACAATTCAAGGCCAGTTAGGTTCTGATTACATAAAAAATTTTATTTTTAAACATATATTAAGTCACATCAAATTAGCAAATAAATATATATAAAATAAATTCTGCTCCATAAAACATGGTTTGAACAGAAACTTTTGCTGTTATCAGCAGTGTATCTTTAATCTGTTTCACATATTTAGTTTAAGATGTCACACTACAGCATGTTTGTTTATTTTTGGGTAAAATATGAATGAATCCTGCTTGGAAAATTGTCTGCCTGTTACAGATTATATAGATCTGAATCCCCCCCAACAACTCAGTCCAAAATGAGTGTCCAACAAGTAATACGTTTTCCCCTCATGCACAAGTGATCTAATCCAAATGAAAACTAACAAATATTTTGACCATTGTGGCACTGCTTCCTAGGTAGAGAAATAATATTTCAGGGAGAAGTGATAGCATACCTGTATCACTTGTGCTTTGAATTACCAAGCACTGGAAATTGTAGGTATCCATGGCAACGGCACATATGTAAGTGTGATAAACTGAAGTATATTTCTGGGTTTTGGAGAGGTGGCCTGTTACCTCCAGAAAATATTAATCCTATGAGTTCACACTACCCAAGTCAGCAAAAATTGGAAATCTTAGGTAATTAGATTCTATTCTTGATAATCTGTTTCTCTGTCAAGGGGGTATTATTAACACAGACACTAAAATGCTTCTACTATGAACATGCAAACTAATTCTGAAAACTTTAAAATGTTAAAGTCAAAGCACAGTACTATATGAGTAATATTCTGGAGGAAAAATATTTCCTGTAAGTTATGCCAAAGGGAACTTATAGCACAACTGTGCTGTAAATAGTGTTTGACCACTAAGTGTTACATAATGAGAATCTCTGGCAAACCTGCACCTTTCTATGGATGCTATTTCTACCACTCTTTTATTTCAGTGTCTATTTTTTAGATACTGCCTGTTTTTAATGCCCCTCCCTCCTTTTTTAATCTTCAAAAGATAAAGATATTATTTTTTATATCTAACACTAAATATATGTGTATACATGCAGGCTGAGGTCATCTGATCACTGAAAGCATAAATGAGTGTTTACTCAGCACTTCTTGTACCATGCCTGTGTCACAGTACACTGTCTCTGTGTACTATGTAACAATATAGAGTTACATGCCAGGAAATGCTTTATGTTACAAACCTTTAAAGTATTCTCCTGAAACAATAAAAAAATACAATAAAGCCTGTTTTCAATACAAGTGGATGCCATATGCCTTTACTATCTATCACATTTTGGATCATAAACATGGAATAGCAGCTAATCCTGTTTGATCTAGAAAGCAAATTTGTAGCTGAAACTGGTTTAATATCAGGAAGCAAAATGCCCTCTAAAAGAGAGGAATACCTGGAAGACTGGTAACAAGTTGCCCTCTGATAAAATCATCCACTTCTTCAGGTTTTAAGTGATATTGTCCATCTGGTTTTGCTTTACGAGTTGCCATTCTGGCCAGCAGAATATTGGAACCTGAAAAACAACAAATTAAAGTATGTGTGTGGTAACTTCTGTTGATCCGCAAGCAGAATGCCACAGTGCAACACTCAAGGAAAAAACGCAGAAAGCACAGTTAAATTCTTTAACTTCTACCAAGAATTTAATGAAATCTATGCATATATATTTGCAGTGTCTACCTTCAAATTAGCAGCCAGCACTTATTTGCTATAACAGCAGTGACATGGCAGTGTTAACTGCAACTGCAAAGTTAATAAGAGAAGAATTCTCCTTGGAGTCATGAATTTCAGCTTGTCTCACAAGTGGATTTCACACACTTACATACACTCAGTACAGGTAGGTACAGATACTCAACTTTAATATTAATTAGGAACAAAAAGAAAGGAGAAAAAATGAGCTGAGAAGAAACAGACCAAGAAAGTATTTTCAGATGTGTGATTTAATATACAAGATCTACTACAAACCAGAAATCTTTGCCCTCAATACCTTCTAAGAACTATGCAAAATCATGTCATGCTGTAAACTCTTACTGCTATCTCCATTAAGGAACACAATCTGTGCTGCTTCTTCTATTTACTATAAACATTTTACTGGAAGTAATTCATAAAAATGAATGCAAGAATGGAATTTTAGCATAGTGTCCAGATAAAGAAGAAGTGATAGCTGGATAGAACATTGACTTAAGATTTGGACTTGATGATCCTTGCTGGCGCCTTCCAATTCAGAATATTCTATGGTCTCTATTATGGAAATTTTATACATTTTTGCTTACAACTTTCCAGTTATGAAAATTTCCTTGCATTTTTATTCACACTAGTTTAATGTATATGGCAACATATTCCACAAACACGAGTTTTAGCAAACTTACCATAGCTTTCATACATTGACAAAAGCAGTCACTGCTTGTAAACATAAATGCAGTTACTTACCCATCCCAACAGAAGCTGTGCATTTAGTTTGGTCTTTGATTTCAGTGCGGATAGCGTTCGCAAATTCATCAGGAGTCAGTCTGGTCTCTGTAAGGATGTCAGTGATATCTACCAGTGCTTCATCACAACTGACTGCTTCGATGTTGTGAGTATAGCTATCAACACAAAGTAAAGGAGGTGAAACACCAGCAACAGCTCACCATCTGTTAAAACAAATATGTAGCAAATAAAGTCTCCCTTTTGTGGTGGCATTTCCCTGCCTATTTTGTATCACACATCACTTAGATATCAAAAATGCTAGAACAGCAAATTACAGTAATATTACTAATCTAAGACAAATTTCAACATGCGTCTTGGTTTTAAAGGAACAGCTGGAAAGGGAGCTGAATATTTTTTTTTCATTGACAATAACAAATTTCCAGTTTTATTTCAAGTGAATTTCAAACCAGAAAGTAGTTTCTAATAGATGTTACTCTAATAACCCACTCTTAAATTACTCAAAAAACATCTCTTGGAAGGATCTCCCTTCTAAGGGATTTGCTTCTCACCATGCGAATCAGTAAAAAAAATTAACAGTAACTCATTTGCAAGTCAGATGTTGATTGTTTACAGCATTTGGCTTCAGGATATAAGAATGCTCAGAAGCATGGTGCTCAAAGTAACAAAAGTACTACAAAGGAAGACCTCAAACAGGAATAGTTTCACTGAAGCTGAAGAGGGGGAGATGAAAATACAAAATGAATAATAGCATTCAGTAGTGGCAAAGAAAATATACTTGATAACCTTACCATGAAGATCATGCAAACAAACAGCACATTACCTTGCTAGTATTTCATATACTGTCCGTGCAACTTCTTTGTATGCATCAAAATCATATGAAACTGCTTGAAGATTTGGACACAACTTTTTTGCTTGGCCAAAAAACATTCCATTCTTTATGCCAACTTGTCTAAAATTAAATAATAAAATAAAACCCAAGTAAGCACAGTGCAAACTTTTCCACAAATTATCAGGGAGTACTTTCAATTTAATTATTTGTCTTTTCCTACAAAAATGGGAATAGGAATTCAGTCAACAGGTAGAAAATTTAATAGGTTAAAAAAAACCTGCAACTGGAGTATTTGAATTAGCTGTGTATTATTAAGCCATGGAACATGAGAAAGGCATCAGGTTTTTTTCACAGGCTTTATTTCAACTTATACATAGGTTGGGTTGAGAGCTACTAAGCAGCAGCATCCACAGGGAGGAGCTTCTGTTAAATTTTAACAACCTATATAACTGCAACTTTTGAACAGAAACTTTCTCTAGATAAATTTAAAGACACTAATAACCACTATTTTTGGACATCTTATGCCTATCTGTATGGGATTTTCAAGCAAACTACTGGGTAACTTCTACCTACCTGGCTTCATAACTGCAAGAAGCTATTTCAGCCATGGACAGAACAGTGAGATTGAAGTCAGCTCCGTTCACATGTGTGGAATCTGTATGCTCCCAGACAGATGAGTCCAACTGATCAGGTACTCTAATTTCTGCTTAAAAAATAAAATTTATCTACATTACTCTTCCTAAGAGTTCAACAGAATGAATGTCAATAAAATAAAAATGATGGATTTTATATTATACAATTTCTATACTGTTATCTTTTGACAAAGACGTTCTTAATATTGATTAATATTGATTCATACTGTGGTCCAGAAAAAACCCCAGACCCCTTCTCCAGTAATGTCTCTCTGGACAGGTCTGTACATACTACTGAGAACAATATTCATAGAAAAATGGTGTTTCCCCCAAAATTACTAGACAGCGGCTCACTGGTGACTACATACACCATACTGTAAAATAAGAATGATCTTAGCTTTACTGACTATAAAAATTATCAAACACACGTGGCTAACTGTTAGAATCACATCCTGCCACCAAATACAAGACACTAAAAATTATTTAAGAACTGCTCAACTAAACAAGAAGACACTTAGCTATGTTCCTTTTTACAAAATGCACCCCTGATATCAAAACACTGAAATTTCATATAGAATATAAATCCACTTCATATTATACTTGAAACCATTTTTCTGATAGTCTAGATGCCACAAAGTGATTTTTAAGAAGTGAAAACCAGAATGAAAATTATTTGAAATAAAAAACACTAGCAAGAAATTTCTATTTTCTTTAACACTCTTACAGGGATATTAACTGAAATAACTTCTGCTTTTACTTATGAATAATTCTCTTATTAGGATGTGTCCATTTCTTTCAAATATCACCACAAAATTATCTTGGATCAAAATGATACTATTATAAGTACTGCAACCTCAGACTTAAAATGAGACAGACCTTCCCTAATTCTATAAAACTTTACTACATATTCTTACATAAATTGTAAAGCAACCTCCAGGCCCACTGGGTACTAGGTACTAGACAGAATTCCATGACTGAATAATGGAAACAAGCACAAGATTTCTAGTTCTATTTGGGTTTTCACATTACGTCAACCTTGAAATACGTGCTAGACTCTAAATATGAATCAGCTTGAAAAAAATCACTAGATGCAAAAACTACTATGCCTGTCCAAACTCCCATCAGAATCAAAACAAGGTATCATATAGATAAAATGCTTCTATTTATTTAAAATGAAATCCACTACGCAGTTCTTTTTCATTACTGTAGTCTATTTAATACCATACACCTTTGTAATATAATAAATGGGAGTTTATTATAGTCCCACAATGAATATAGAGTGCCACAATGCCTAATTATATTCCACAGTACTAACAACTTACACACCAACAATCTGACTGAAAGGAAACCTGGTGCTGTGTGCACATATCAGTAGCTATCAAACCAGAGAACGTGGTGTAATGAGTGAGTGGAGATACCAGGGGTAGAGCCTAACTCATGTGGAAAACTGCTTTTATTCAGAATTTCTGCTACATTTGTGCACTTTTTAATTTCTTAAATATTTTAGTTTATGATGAGCTCAATAAGTTACCTAAGATGTCTGCAACTGAAAATTAGAGCAAAATTATGCCCCAAATAAAGATAAGAATGACAAGAACAACTTCTTTAGTCCATGCCTTCCTGTGCCCTGGCCTGAGATGATGCTGTCATCTTGTCTATCTTCACTGGAATCGTCGGCTTTTTCCACATCGCAGCAGAGCAGATCCCCCCATGAGCTGATGGAGTCACTTCATGTGAAATTCAGGGCAATGCAGAACACATTGTCCTCAATGGAAGGCAAGGTAGAGAACCTCTCATCAAAAGCTGGGAAACTAGACAGGCACATGGTGAATGTGGAGCAACGGATGGAGAAATCAGAGGCCAGGACCCAAGTCTGTGAAAAAGAAATCGCTGAGAATAAATCTGTGACTAATATGATGGTTAAAATCTGCTGCTCTTTAGAATGAAAAGGGAGATTCTAGGGTTGAGGGAAAGGAAGTCTAGAAAACATTCACATCTTGGGCATCCTGGCCATGGAAGAGACCCCAAACTATGAATCCTGATTAACGTATGTTAATCTTTTATCTTTAGAACATGAATGTTAAAGATGGCATGTATGTAGCGAAGTAATTTCTACTATCTAGAAAGCCTATCTCCAATTTGGGGATTTAGGGTGAGAATAGTATCAAGTTTTTTAATTTAAGTGTTATGCATTTTTAGATGAATTAATACAAGAAAAAGAAAGTATTTAATAAAAGACTGAAGATTTTGTTGACACTAGATTTTGTCTAGCAATGCAGATCAAAGTCAGGAACCAGTATCACTAAAGAAGTAATAAAAAAAAAAAAAAGAAGTAAATGAAGCAGCAGAATTCAGTATTTGGTCAAAAGTGATTCACAAGTGTTTGGGGGTTTATGTTTGGGGTTTTTTTTTGTTGTATTTTTGTTGGGGTTCTTTTTGAGGGGATGAGGTGCTCTGTTTCCGTGGTTTTGGTTGGTTTGTAATTTAGAACTTTTTTTCAAATAAGCAAGATCTGGAGAACAAGGCAATAACAGAGAACAGCCTGGAAAGTATGAAGCACCAAAAACTGAAGTGGGTTCCATGTTGAAGCATGGATGTAAAAATATGCTCATGTTCTAATCTCCTCCCAACTACCTTTCTATTTCACTTATATAACATGTCCCCATTGTGTCTGTTTTAACAGCCTAATGTACTATTCCATATTTTTGACATTTTTGTAAAAGCATTTCTGCATGTAATGCTTGTGCCTACTGCACTGTATTTCCCTCTGGCACAATTAAACACATGCTGTGAAGTGTGTCACTTTCTAAGATACTGTGATGTCTGAGAAGCCTAATCAGCAATTCCACCTTTACATCTAAGACCATAACTAACTATAATTTCATTACCCAAAAAGGAAGACAAATCCTGAGAAAAAGCAAGCAGAAACAACAGGTTTGAGGTTTTTTTAATTGGCAAAATGATTGCACATGGAGATAAAATAAACAGAGATTCAAAAATATTATGAACTGCAGCTAATGAAACAGAGACTATAAAAAGAGTGTTTGGAAAACATCCTTTCACCAAAACAATAGGCTGCACAATCAGCCTAAGTGTCAAGAAAGAAAGAGCTAGCTGCCTGCCTGCATGCAAGCCAGTTGAGACTGGATGCTGAAGTTAAAGAAATGAATGTGTGATATCCAGAAAAAAGCTGCCACAGTAAGAAACTGAGCTTGTTATACAATAAGGTTGAAAGCTGCTGTACACTTAAGCAATCAATACAGCACAAGAGATACTACTGAATTTGTGAATCAAAAGAACATGCTAGGTATCAGCTAAACTGTAATTCAACTCTCCAAACCACTCAGTTGTACAGTCACATCCTTATCCAGTTCAAGGCCCTAATAAAAGTTAACAAGTCACTGTATAAACTGAACTACCAATAAATACTTCATACACAAGCTCTACTACAGAAAAACCAACTCCATAAAGACCACAGCTATCTCTGTCTGGAGCATACTGAAAAGTCCTTAAAAGCTTATGCGTTCCACAAACATATATTCTACCTCAGTTTTGAAGTCTTCTTAAACTACAGCAAAAAAGACAAATGAAATAGCATCAGTAATACCTTGGTTCTATAAATGTCTTCAAAAACCCCCAACAACCTGCCAATTTCCAAAGTACTAATGTTTCATAAACAAACATGGAAGAACAACCTGCCTTATCTTGTCTCACCAAAATAAAACACCGAGGTGTAAACTTTATAACAACAGTACTTAGGACCACGAATTTGGTAAAAACTGCATATGTAACAGGGCAAAGGAGAAACTCAACTTCCAAGTCAAAACTAAACTTCAATAGCAACTACCCCTTGTATATGCACTTTTTAACAACTTTGTGGCAAGAACTATGCTTCTAGATGATTAAATAAGACTGTTACTGGCTGCTTAAGTTGCCAATGTTTAGCAAAAATAAAGTTCAGGCAGTACAATAAAACCTATTAATAAAACTTTGGTATATATTAGTACACTACTACTTGAGGACACAGAAAATAACTCATTTCTAAATTATTGCAGGCGAGTATGGTATTCTCAAACTACAACAGACAACCTGGTTTTCAAAAAACAAAATATTGAATGAACAGAATCCATGAAAATTGCACAGACTTTCCAGAGACCTAAAATACTCTATGGACCACCCAAATTACTCCCTATACAGAGATATTCTACAGATGAAACTCAAAAAGCCAGCTTCAAACAATCAGTTTCTCACTGGCCATGTGCTATTGTTACTACTTTTACAGAAAAAAAACCTCTGTAGTAGACTTCGAAAACTTATTTTGCATAATATGCTATACATGACTTCCTGAGAAAAAAAGTGATCCTGGACAACCTTGTTGTTTTTGATTTTAAATAACTACTAACATTCTATCTTACACTCAACCTCAAGAAAGTGAGTAAAACCTAAAATTACTCTAAAATAATTTACCCATACTGAGCAAAGCTAATTAAGAAGAAGCCACAGTGTCCTGCTATTACTGAGCACTGTGCTGTCCAAAAGTATTTATTTTCTGAAATCTCCCACATGAAAGAAATAAATTTATCCATGGTACACTTTCTGAATAATTTTAAAGAAAAAGTCTTCCATAACAACAGTTAAAAACACACATACATACAGACTTATCTGTACCTGCTTTGCCATTCAATAGCTTTTTCTGGTAATATTGCTGTTCAAGCTGGGGGTTTGCACCAGGGCGCAGCAGTGCCTTCCCTGTACCTCTGTTACTAGTAACAGCTACTGGCTTTCCTGTGGAGAAAAAATGCATATACTTATAGGTCAACACCTATAATAGCTTACATTTCAATAAAAGCACAATTAGGATAAGATCATAAGGATTTTTAGTTTACTTTCTATTAATTCTTTCAAGCAATGAATGTGTCTTAACTGCAGTCACATTAAAGAAGAAAAGCTTTTCTCAAGTGAGAATACAGCTAATACTAGATTGTCTTTAATAAAAAATATAAATGGAAGCTGTGAAATGTCACCAGTAACCTAATCATTCATTAGTTTAAGATACAGCAAGCACTGGACTGATTTTAAATACCTTAACATGTTTATTAGCTTAAGTAAATATACACACACCAAAAAAATATACACAGAAAAATAAACACATACCAAAACACTTAGTTCCACTTAATTTAACTGTGCAAACCAAAATTTTTAGTAAACTTTTGACTTTTCTGCAATATCAACACTTTCATGGTGTTTCCAAAGCAAGCTAATTTATGCACTGAAAAGTCTGGCAAACTTCTGTGGAACAGAAAAAGCATTTGCAGAAAAGTCCTACATTCTTTGTGTTCCAGTAATGGAATTTGAAACTTGGCAGGAAATCAAGTTTTAAAGAACCAAACATAGCAGAAGAATCTTTGATACAGCTGCTCCTGTCTTTGGACAGAAGAGAGCAATGAAACCACATATGCATCTTACTCTTTTCCCAAGGTCTGTGATAGCTGGAATGTGAGATGGCCACCACTGCAACAGGTCTTCAAACTTGTGCACCCCTGAAGTTCATTGTCTGCACAGAACTAACATCTCCACTGCTGAATGGTGGTACACTTGTAGAAAACAAACCCACCAAAGTTTGCTAAGGTGCTCCACTAACTCTCCTGTGTCTTAAGGATGATCACACAACTCAGACTTCTAAATGCCAACTGAATTATTCCTGAATCCTCCAGGTCTAATATCTCATGTGTAATAGCTTAGAGAGGAAAGGAAAGGAGAAGCAAACCTCTCTTGAAAAATATGGATCAGGTAGAGACAATTAATTCTCAGCCTTGACCTTTCCACTTTTCTAGCTAAACAAAGCTGCTTAAAGTACTTCAGGAAGAATATTAGGTGATCCCATTTTCTTTAATTTATCTCTTTTTCTTTTAATAGACAGTGCCCATACCCGACTTCTAGTATAACTGAAATTTGATTTCCAATTTTTAATATGGTAGATTAAAATCTGAGTAAGTTTATGTACCATGTCACAGAGAATAGTTACTACAGATTTAACTTCTGTCTTCTTACTTTTAGATACTGAAAGGAAATAGCAAGGAGAATTCCAGTTCTCTCTTCACTTGGTTTTGGATTGTGAGAAAATAAACAGGAATATGAAAGTTGCATGGCCTAAGTACCGAAGATGCAAGAAAAAAGATTAATACACCAAATTAATTTTATAACTGTGCAAGTTTGTTTTTTTAAAGGCTTAACTGAGTAAACTGTAACACACAGACTTAAAATACTGACCTTTGAGATCTGGTCTATTTCGGATAGCCACAGACACAAAGAAGCAATCCATATCCACGTGCATTATACAGCTCTGTGGCTTGGCTGAGCTCGCAACAGACACATTACCTAGTATGAAGATACACCAATAGAAAACTTGAACCCTAATTTACACACTTCGGTACTACTCACAGGTCTATTCGGTAATACATCAAGGTCTATTATCAAGTTTTTACCACCTCTAAACAATAAATATTTTTGCTTCCTCTCACCAAGAAGGTATTTACGCTGAGAAAGGTAAACATAGCAGTAGACAAACAGCCTAAACAATGAATTAACTTAAGGGTTTCTGTTTTTTATTTTCTTATAATTACCACCTTTTACCCTAACAAAGTTCCCCAAATCCAAGGAGATTAATGCATGTTGTTGGCACTGGATCTTACTCGTGCTACGTTAACACTGAATCAGAAGAGAATTTTACTCCTTTTTGTTCAACAATCAGAAGGCTGCTTCAAAAGATAATAATGTAAGTTTAGCTGCACTATGAACTGTTATTATTATTCATGAAACACACCACAATTAGTTTTGAAAGTCCCATGCAACTGGATTTTGTCACTGCTGTACTTAGGCGCAGGCAAGCATTCAGCGAAGATGAGCAAGGTAACTCCTCACTGAAAATCGTACGTGCCTAAAACACTAGAAATGCTTTCTGCAAGGTCAAGTCTGCATGTCTGTGTTGCTGACCTACCAAAAGTGGCAATATCAAACAAAAAAAAATTTACCTTGAACAATGCATAAAGTGTAACAGTGAAAAAATACTTCAATACATCAAGTGAACTGTTCCACTTAACATCTGAGTTAATTACTGAATAATGAGAAAAATATCCTCTTGGTTTTAATAATTTACATTCTGAGCTCATTGGAAAAATAAGGACTGTCTTATAATGGGCATATTTACAAATCAAGCCATCAAGTTAAGGAGCTGCTACTTGTCAACTGAATCACAGGCATTAACTATTTGAATACTCTAGGCCAAATCAAAGAGAAAATAAAAATATATTAGCTTATACCACATTTTGATTTAAAAATACACATTAAGTAGTTCATAAGCTAACACGTTTGGTAACTGGGGTGTCCTAACACAAACACAGAATTAGTAAATTTATTATCTAACAATTTTTTTGATGTAGCAATTTCTCAAGCATATTTTCATATGATTACAAGTGAATAATTTTACAGCACAGGACTCAGAATCTCTTTAATGGTACAGAGCTAACTTTTTAATTTAAAAAGACTGTAAACAAGAGATTCTAAAGATGCAAAGTATTTTATCTGTAACACTTTGATTCTAATGAATTCTACATTTTTTCACTTTGGCCCTTGATGCAATTACATTAAATATTTGTCTTCAAGCCAGGTTTAAAAGTCTCTTATGACACTACTATCCACTTTAACAGACGCAGAGCTATATAAAACTCTAACTAACAAAAAAATTTAGGTTTTAACTCACATCCAAATGTTACTCATCTTTTAAATGCTCATGCTGAACAGTAAGGATTTTTTTCTTCTCTTTTTTCCCCCTGCAGATTTTCACACAGCAACTACAGATTTGTGTATTAGATATACATAGTATTTTTCTCCCTTATGAATCCATGAATCTTGGTAAAGTCAGAAATACTACTTCTACAAGGAAGAATTGAATATAGACCAGAGCATCACACTAAGTAACATTTTAAGTTTGAAAAACCCAACAAAGCCAAAAGCACTTGCATCCATTAGTGTTCACTGCATCAAAGTCATCAAGTTTTTCCAGATAGTCTGACTATAACATGAATACTCAATACTAAACTATGTAGTCTCATTTGGACATTTAATGTATGAAGACATAAGGCATCTTCTTAACATAAACCTTCTTAAACAAGTATCTACCTGTGTCAGTTTTAAGTGCAGACCTGCCTGTTTTCCATTTTTTAATTTTTTCCCTTCCTGGAAAGACACCGCTGTTTTTTCTCTGCAGGCTGTTGACAAACTCTGTCAATTCACACTTCCACGTTGATATATGATGCAGTCTTGAATGTGAATAAAAATCAGAAATAAAACTACAATCTGAAGGTTTGGACACAGGTAAGGAAGCTGCCTTGCTAGGAGCAGGTCCAGAAGTGCTTTTTGTGCTTGAAGGCCCCTGAACAGTTGAGTGGTGAGCACCATTTATTTTAGCATTACTGTGCAAAAATGAAGATGAGGATGAGTTACTCATAGTCCTGTGTGGACTCCATGAAAAGTCTGTATTTTTGTTGCTTTGCTGCAACTGCTGCATTGTGCAGTCTCTAAAGTCAACCATGCCTTTGTCAGTCTTCCCCTCCTCCTGCACAGGGCCTGGAGACAACCTGCCTGCAACACCGTTGCTGGAGGGCACCAAGCAATCCTGTGTCTTTAAGGCACTGGTAGAAGCGTGTGTGTGTCCATTAAAAAGGGCAGTGCTGTCTTTATGAGATTGAATCCCGTTTTGTTTCCGTATGGGAAGAATCTCCTCCAGCTCTGTAAATCCAAAATCGACACTTTCTTCTTCCTCTTCCTCATTCCAGCTGTTTATTCCATTGGGTGTGATTTCATTTTCCATTTCGTACTTTTTAATATGATTTCTGAAACAGATATAATAATTAAATACCATATCTTTTATAAATAAAGGCACATTTACATGTAATTTCAAGCTTTTTCTTCTTAACGGTTCTCAGTTTATACTTCAGTTACATTCCCAAGACAATTATCTCAAATTCTGAGCCACATCCTCTCAACAGCACAAAATATAATGCCATACCAAAGATTTTACAGACTTCATGTAATATTAACTAGGAGTTTACATGGGAGTGACCATGCTCACATTAGAAAAGCTATTTCCAAGGCCTTTAATCTGGCAGGCAGTCTCCCACTGAATTACAGTAACTATTTGTTTGTTAACAGAACTGTACTGCCACACACAGCATGAATGTTGCAGGAGTACACAAACCACCAGAAGGAGCTTTCCTTTTATCAAGGACAGCTCCTTAACTAGTTATAAACAAACAAAAAGAAACAAGAAAGTATACACAGAGAACTATTTTTTTAGGAAATTATTTTAGGTTAATGTTAGATCCATTTTATTTTTTCATAATGAAAAAATCTGTTCAAGCTCTAGAAATCACTTAGCTTTGATAAAAACCAGAAACAAACTAATTTTCAGCTTTTAAGCATATAAACCAAAGTATTCTGCCATGAGCACACTAGCACAAAGACAAAGCTTCCATTCAAAAAATTAACTCTGGAAATGAAAACCAAAGTCTTCAAGAGTTCTACACACTCTTGATCTGCTGCAAAAACCCAACAAACCCAACCATCGCTCCCAGCTCCCAAAGCCAGCAATTTAAGTACACAAAAAAAGGTGGGGAAAAATTAGCTATTCAGTACACTACGGAAACCAGAAACTCAATTAAGCATGAAAACAATTTGGTTAAGATTATCCAAATATAAATTGCAGTAAAGATAGTGTTTTTGAAGAGTTGTGTGGTTGAAAATGGTATATTAAGTGGCACATACTTAGTGGATAGGCAGGCTTTTAAAGTAATGTTTTTCAGACCACATTGACATTTTGGGAAGTCTGAATATTCTTCTCATTTAAAAAATCTTCAACAATGCAATAGTAAGAGGTGATGATGATTGTACTACTCATTGTTTAAAATATGGTATGAAATACTGCTTAAGATATTAATTTTTTGAGACTGGTTTTATTTTCCTAAGTGTAGACAAATCCCACTCATGTGGTGAAGTCTCCTCAGCATTATGCATGACTGGATTGTAATAAAATCAGCAGACTGTGGAAGAACTCAGATCACCCAGTACAAATCAGAAAGTATAGTATCTTGCACAGTATCCTTGGCCCTGCTAGAGCAGTAGTGTTGAACCAGATAACATCCAGGTATATTTTCCAACCTCAAAAGTTTTATAATGTTATTATTCTTGCCTATAAAAAACAAATATGTATTTCTGAAAAATATGCAGGAACTTTCTTATTAAAAAAAAATCTAGAAGAGTTCAGGTGGAGTGTTTCTTTCCAAATTCCAATTCCTCTGCCAGTCAAAAAGTTTTACAGGTGGTTTCTCTTCAAGTCTCCTCTCAAGGTCTTAGGTGTCTTAGGATACTTTTTCATATTGTAATTTCATTTTTCAACCCATCTCCTCTCTCAAGCATGACTTAAACCTTGGTGTTAGCATACATAATGTATGCAGTGACTTCCTTTTTTTTTAAGAGGCTAAAGAAAGAGATTAACAACTAGTATGCATTTATATTCATTCCTAGGCACCTCTAGCAAAAGCAGTCACCAGCTTTTTATTTTTGAAATAAAGACTCACTTTTCAGTGTGACCTATCAGAATCCTTTAATGCATGTCTGTTGCTTCCATACAGATGTGTTACATCCTAGGACTCCTAGGTCGTATTATCAAACAAACTGTGGTCCAAAGACTAGAGACAAGGCTTGGAGTCAAGGTAACAGAGTTCTTTCCTCAACTATTTATACAGCTATACCTTGAATTATCGTGGTTTCTGCCAGGCTGTTGGGGTCCGGCTAGCTATAGACCCTTGCCCACACAATAATTCACAGACAAAAGTAAAAGATTGAGAAGCGCTCTTCTCCACGTAGGAAATGTTCTCTCTGTATTCCAAGAGATACAGGATGTGGACAAACCCGTGGGAGAGAAGAGGGCTTTCCCTGGTAGCAGGGAACTTTTATACCCCGGGAGAATGGGGACAGAGGAAGAGGTCCACAGCCAATGGGATACCAGTGAGGAGTGGCGAGGGGAGTGTCTCTTCATCAGGAAGAGGCCGCCAGGGGTACTGGGGTGGGTGAGGGAAAAACCATGTGATGGGGGAAAGGGATAACAAACGACGTGATATAACATAAGCTATTCAGTGCAATATAAAGACTACTCTGTGCAAATTTCCAATCACCCAGTGCAAAACAACTAATTAAACTATTTAGCGCAACACAACAATACCTTACTTTTGAATTTCAGCACCTCAGAGCTTGCCTCTTACAAAGCTGAAATGAGCTTTAAAAATGCTATTTACAAATGCAAACTCATTATGGGTGAATGATGAGCATCTGCATTACAAAATCAGAAACACTTACACCCTGTTGAGATCTTTAGCTGTATTGCTTGGACCTGGCACAGCATCTTCAGGTTTGCGTATGCTGTTAAAGTTGAGACCTTTCTGAACACCTGACTGCTTGGTGTAAAGCTGATACGGAATGTGCGAAAGGAGACGCCCAGCTTTAATGCTGAAAAAAAAATAAGAAAAACCAGGTTACTGCTTAAGAAATTTTAAAGAAATCCCAACCTCCTATGCTAAAAGAACCCCCTTATTTGTACTTGCAGTGCCTTCCACAACCCCTTTCTCACCCTTAACTGGATTGAACTGATAAGTAATTTGTGATGTGGTGACTGGTACAACAAAAGGTATTTGCAAAGATGTGCTGGTCAGTAGTTCTACATCCATTTGTCTTTCCAACTGACACACACAAACCCCAAATATTTAATTTAAACAAAACAGTCAGAAAACCCTTGCTTAGTGGTCCAGGTTGTTCTACCTGAACAATAGTGACTGAGATCTTTATCATGGAACAAATTAGGGTAGAATTTGAAAGAGGTCAGCTAGGATGTGGTTCACTGTTAAAAATTAACTACTTTTTCCATTCCACAAGGCTAAATACCTCTTCTTGTAAAAAATTCACTGAGGCAAGCTAAACAAAAGAATAATTTCCAAACAGACCTACCACAAATATCTACAGCAATCATTCCAGTTATTCCTACTGTGTTCCAGTCTATCTCCCTCTTCTTTTTCATCTTCCACTGAAACTGCAATTATACTTGAGTAACTGCTAAATTCCTTAGGGAAGCCACACACTTGTCAGTGAAATAGTCTCAAAAATACACCCCAGGATGATTTAATCTCTCCACCCCAACACCTGTTGCTGGCAGCAGAGATAGCCTTCCAAGCCTACACTTCACCTCTTCTTTGTATACAATTCTTCATAATGAACACTGGCTCAGAGACACTGGGACTTCTTCCAGCAGAGGAACCTCTCCCATATCAAAGCACATTAGTATTAGCATTTAGTTTTGAAGATAGAACTGGAGTCAGATTTTAAAGATAATTTAGCTCAGTGTTTTTCAGCATCTGAATGCTTTCTCTTGCTCGAATCTGTACTACTATCAAGGGATCTGGACAGTAGAACAAAAGCCTTTGGGAGCTTTCTGGCTGCAATTAGAGAGAATATAGTAGAAGATCACATTTCCCAATTAGCTAAATTAAAACTAGTTAAGCATATATATATACACCTGGTAAGGTTTCTATGGAAATGGAATAGCAAATCAATCCCAAAAATATATCCATTAAATATTGTTTGATACATTAATATATATAATTCATAAAGGAACATTATTTGTATTACACACTGCCAAACAGAGTTAAAAATACACCTGGGACATTTCCAAAGCTTTCTTATACACAAAGTGGTAATGCAGCAGCTGAATTTTTACAATGCCTGACTTGACTGTTTCTCAAAAGGCCATGTGAACATAGGTGCAGAACCGACTTGGTAATATTTCAGAGTAATTGCTACAATTTCAAGATGATTAAACAAACCCACATTTATTTAAGAATTTGTCCGTATCACAGTTTTAGCTACTGGAGTAGCTGCATTACTAGATAAACAAACAGTTGTTTTTTCCCAAACTGCATTAACACGCGGCAATCGGAATTCTAGTTAAGATGCACCATTCAACATCTTTACCCATTTTACCTTCCCTGTGTCACAGAACTCATAATCATTTTTAAAAAAAGGTTTTGAAAGGACCTCTGGAGGTCTCTAGTCCAAACACTGATCAAAGCATTATCTTTAAAGTCAGATGAGGTTGCCCAGGACTAAAAGTCCACAAAAATTTTGAGTATCTCCAAAGGGAGAAATTCTACAACCCTCTCTAGGCACCTATTTCACTGCTTACTCTCTATTAACTATGAAAAATCTTTTTCTTATAGTCAAACTTTTCTTTGCTGCAACTTGTGACTACTGCCTCTTGTCCTCTTACTGTACATCTTGAAGAAAAATCTGGCTCCACGTCCTTTGTAACCTCCATAGAGGTAATGAAAGATAACAATTAGACCCCATCCTAGTCCCCTCTGCAAGCAGAACTGAACCAGCTTCCTCAGTCTCTTCTTATATATCACATGCTCATACTGGTGGTACTCCTCTGAACTGAACACTGCCGTTGTCAGTCCTTCTCTTACGGAAAAGCCCAAAATCTGACACACAACTCCAGATTTAACTTCAGAAGTATTGATCAAATTGGAAGCATAACTTGCCTTGATCTGGACCATGGTCTTGGCTAATGCAGCCATAGCTGTTAGCCTTTGTCTCCACAAGGACAACTGCAGCTTCACAGTTATCTTTTAGGGTAAGACTTGAGGGTCCTGGTGGATTACAAGGGTGTGTCCCTGCCAGTGAATCCCTAAACTGTCTGGTTGCATGGAACTAATTCTGTCTTGTGTTCACAACTCTGCATTTTGCTTTGTTGAATTTCATCAAGTTTCTGCCATCTCATTCCTACAGTCTGTTGATGCTCTCCAAAGGACAGACCTTCTCTATAGTATACCAACTGTTGCCTTCTAAATCATCCACAAACTTGCTGAAGCTACTTTCCACTGTATCACCAATGTCCATGCTGTTAGTGAAGACATAAACTGCGTCTGCCCCAGTATAAACCCTTCAGAAATGCCCCTTGTGGCTACTTGCTAGTTTGACTCTGAACTGCTAACCACTGTGATGATGGAGGCAGTTGGGCCAGAACTTACATCCCTCAGCCAGCAGCCTACTATCCAATTCCTATCTCCCCAATTTATCTTCAATAATGCAACAGGGGACTGTGTCAAAAGAGCTACTGTAGTCATAGCAAATGATATCTACTCCGCTCTTTTGCATTTGAAATCCTCATCAGAAAACTAGGTGTCATACCAGAATAGGTCTTTTTAAAAATTATTTTAAACTATTTTCTTCATATTTGTATTAGAACACAGTTCATTAGGAAAAATATTCACCTAATTTGAAAATCAAAGTAAAGAATCTACAAATACTGGTACCTCATGTTAGTTACCCTCAGTTTCTGAAAAGTGATTATAAATGTCAAAGAATGTTAAAAGAATAGTCAAACTTGGAAGTCAAGCTCTCAGATCATCTGAATTTGGCTTTCAGTGCACAACAACCTTTCCATGCTACATAATGGTAGTATGATGTAATGGTGTATTTTTTAAATAAAGGAATGTATTTTCAAATAAAGGAATACTGACTTAGGAAGGAGGCCTGCCTGTAATCCTCTTCATTTGTTGCAAACATGGAGAGGTAGCAAAAACACACAATAAGGGGCATGCAGAAAGAATGATTTGTCACTACAGCAACCACACTATTACTCTGCAACACTGGATTTTGCAACTACTGTTACAGAAGATCTCTATGGGATGCTAACTAAACGAAAATTCTAGAGCTACTTCCATTTAACAACAGGTTTATAGGAATCTGACTTTAAACCACAGTTCAGAATATGCAAAGTCTTTAATGCAGCAGTGAAGTTCTTCACATGCCTTACTATCCTTGTGCAAGTAACTGCAGAATCTTATATAGTTTCCATGGCATATTCCAAATGATGAACATTTCTGGTGTTTTACCTCAAAGTCCTTTGGTTGGCTCTCAAAAAATTAAATAATAGTCATTGTTATGGTGCTATGTTACATTCATTAATCTTTGCAAAGCAGACAGATGCTATAGTGATAAGCACCAATAAAAGACAGGAATTAATTATTCATTTCATTACCAGCAAAGAATTCAAGTCACATGCAATAAGTAAGGAACAGGAGACAAAAGGAAAAGCCATGTCACTGTATTAGCAGTCTGCAACCTGAACTCAATCTTTTCTGTGCAGAGAATGTGGCAGGTGCCACAGTGAAAAAAAGATGGCATGTGATCATGTAATTAAGGACTAAATCATAATATATGCACATGAGAAACAAATCAAAGCTCCACAGACAAACAACTTCCTCATTTTGGAATCTTGGGTGACAAGACCAAAGATCTAACAACACTGTTTTACCAGCAGTTTGTGACAGCAACGTTTTACGGTAGATTCTTAACCAAACTGAAAAAATTGCAAACCCATCATATTGCCTACAAGAGAACTGCAGAGAGGCTCTTTACAAGACTATGTAGTGACAGGACAAGGGGGAATAGCTTGAAGCTGACAGAGGGTAGGATTTGATCAGGTATTAGAAAGAAAGTCTTTACTGTGAGGATCGTGAGGCACTGGAACAGATTGCTCAGAGAAGCTGTGGATGCCCCATCCTTGAATGGATGAGGCTTTGAGCAACTTCATCCAAGGTCTAGTGGAAGGTGACCTAGTCCATGGCAAGGAGGTTGGAACTAGATTATCTTTAAGGTCCCTTCCAATTCTATGAAATCGGAAACTCTACATCTACTACACTAATTTTCACCAACTGATCTACTGAGAACATAATTTGGTATTCCATATACAGAGAAGGATTATTTAATCAATGACTATTCTTTAATACTGTTGAGAAGAAGGGAAACAAAAAGACATGGTTGTGAAATTAGCTTCTATTTCAGATTGTGATATGAACTCTGTTCTGTTGAGACAGTGAATTCCCCCATTTCCTTGTGCTCAAACTCATCTATCTGTCTATACTTGGTTCTTCTGACTTATTCTTCAGTATAACCTTCCAGAGCCATAAGGCAGAATCTGAATACAAGACACCAGAATAAAAATTTTAGGAGATTTGATATATCAGGTTCTGTCAAGTCTCTACTGAATGTACACAAATTGATCTTTCCAATCTGGTCAAAATCATAGCAAGCTCTAACAGCACCAATAAAAAACAGTCACATCTTCCTAATAAAACCACACTTGCCATCAGTTTTCCAAGTCCTTAAACACAGGGGTGAGGCCCTAAAAGTGTTGGGGAAAAAAAAAAAAAAAGCTATCTGAAGTCTTTTTCAAACTGAGTAACTTAAAATGTCTAACTAAAGTTTAAAAATTAACCATAAAGATACACTGTATGAAACAGGTGAATACAAAGGACTGAAAACTAGCAAACTGCAAATAAGATTTTACACATGCATTGCAGAACAGTTCCTTGCCTGCTTCCGCTGGTTATCTAGGAAAGAGGCTACTTAAGAATGGCATGACACTGGCAGGATAATTTCTAGAACATGTTCCTGCCTGTCCTATTTCCTGTGAGTTCCTCAGATGGAAGAAGAGAGACGCAAGCCACATTAACTGCTCTGAGCTTGGCTATTGTCTTTATCAAGGACAACTTCAGTGGATTCTATATATTCCAGGGCATGGAGAAACCAAAGAACATAAATATTTTGTAAATAAAATGTAGACTTTTTTTCCTTTAGTTTTTATTATTTTTTTACAAAGTCACAACGCAATAAATGTTTAGATGGGTTAGTTCCAATTTTATGTGAACACTTCAATTGACATCTTTCTTTATATACAGATGACATGAAACTCATGCAAAACACACAACAGGAGAGGAAATTTAGTAGTAGTTATTGTTAATAGTAGTTATTTAACATCCTGAGATGAAGTCTGGTCAATTGGTTAGATATTAAATGAAATTAACAGGGTAATGTTCAGTTTCCTAATATGCTTGAGACTTTCTGAATGTTCTTGATGAAGTTTCTTAAAGGGCAATCCCTATGAAGCAAATCTTCAGTGTAACAGTGGTATTTCTGCTCAGCTCTTCTACGACTTAATAATTTTAGGCTAAACCACAATCTCAAAATGCAATCTTTAACTTTTTTCCTCTCCAGATTTTTCTTGGTTTCTTTTCCCTCAAAAGGGGAAATTTCCAAATGCAGCAGCCGTAAACTTACCTCTCCACGATCCACTCTGGTCGAACTACTTTTTCTCCTTTCAATTCTTTTATTTTGGCATTTGGAAGATTGGTGGCAATAATGTGAGTTGTTTTTGATCTGGAATAGTATACATGGTATTGGCCTCCATGTAACATCATCAGCCGTCTTAATTCATCAGCTGAGGGATCTATAAAATTAAAACCAGGAATATTCCTGTTTAGTGTCAGCAAACACAGTGAGAAAAGTAACTTTAATTGATAAATATGATGCCATGGTCAGAAAGAGTGCAAACCACTCTGGGAAAAAAACTTACAAGTTCTTTAAAGAACAAATCAGAAAAACATCTTGCAAAAAAATGCAGAAAACGGTAGTTTTGAAAACACTAATTCAAAATGCAAACATTCTACTTGCTTTAGAGGAGCTTCCCACAATATGTATGGCAGAAAGCAGGAAAAAATACTCAAGTAATGTTAAAGTATATCAAAAAATGCTTTACATCAACATAATACAAAATTAGATTATCTTTTCACCAGAGTTCAGGAGAAGAGTTTATACCCAGAAGCATCAGAAAATAATTAATATCAAAAGGGTTTAGCAACAGCACTCCTACTCCAACAGAACTCCTACTATGTAATTTCTGATGTACTGAAGCAGTTAACTCACTCCTTCCTTATCAGGTTATTCTTGAGTTGTTACAGGGAAGAAAGAATACCTTAAAAACCAACAACTGTTCTGATTTCCTCAATCATTTTAAAAAGAGTACTTATTTTGCAAGCAGAGGTGGGGAAAAAAAAGAAAAGAACTGTTAGCCATGGAAAATGTTTGCAGTGGGGTCACACAGGCACGAAAAGATTTGGGTCAACACTAACACAATGTTTGAATAGTGAATCTAGCACAAGATGTATTTTTAAAAGAAGTTGAACAATACAAGAATAAGGAAAAATTTTTTCAAAGATACAGTTACAATTCCTGTCAACTCTCAAAATATGTCTAACATTTCATTATTTCTCTAACTTTTAACTAAAAATAGCACACACTTTCTCCAAGTGTTACCTTTCCTACTCCAGCCTTTTGGACAACCATCTTCTAGAGCTCTTTTAAGGGACTAGCCATTTGAAGAATACACAAAGGTTGGATTTTCACTAAAGAAAATGCCTGCATTAAACAACCAATCCAGATGTATTAATGGTTTAACATATCCACATTAACTTTTTCAATCCATTTGAGCCCTGTGCTTAAACCAGCACTAATCTATCCCACAGAAGCTCTGTGCATCAGTTACATAATATTCATAACATTCCTGGCAGAGATCCCTGAATAAGGCTTCTGGGGAGCTTCCAAACAATTATTAAGCTGCTTTACAGAAATAAGAAGCAGGAACATAAGCATGGTAGATTAAAAACCTTACTCCAGCTAACATGCACTATCAGTCCATCACAGATGGCCCCTACAATAGATAAATGTCTTACCTCTTGCTCCTCCTTCCACAATCAGTAGGTTCTGTCTCACACATTATATCATTCTGAGCAAGAAAACTTTGACATAGTCTCCCAAATGCAAATTTAAGGCATACAATCTAACCATCACTAATTTGAAAAAATTAAAAATTTAATAAGTGTAGGAGGATGGAGGAAATGAAAAGGCTTCATTTCAAATAATAAGATCACAGAAACATGGAAAGATCTACTCCTATTTCAACAAGTCATGTTATGTAAATGATACAGTAAAGCAATATTTATATTCCTAATGTAAATCAGATTTTTTTATTGAAAACCTTAATCATGAAAAACAATGGAATATACAAAACATATACAGTAATTGTCATATATTTACTTAGCTGCAAATTCATGTGTTTTGCAGTTACTTCCACTCAGGATGGTAAACATGAGAACAACACAATACAGATCCTTAAAAAAAATAAAGGCTCACCTGTCAAGCCATTGACGTAGATGGCGACTCCGCTAAAGATACTTGATGAATTACCATCCCTCTGCTGTTGTATGGCTGAATCTGACCGGAACTGCTCCTCCAATTTCTTAACTTTTGCTGACATGTACCCACCCTAGTTTTTAAATTAAAACAAAACACAACCCATGATGCCAATCCTATTTCCTAATGTTTATATACAGAAACTGGTCAGTTATAAGACTGGAAAGGTAAGGAACATTCCTCCAAACTGTATTTGGTTGACACAAAAGACATTCATTTTTCAAATGAAAAATAGCAAATGCTCCACCATAAACTTGTATCTACAAGATAACTGCACCATGTTATCAACATGGCAGAATTTATTTCCTAATCCTTAATCTTCTTCTTATAGGAGAAGATTTTATATATATAAAAGATTCTACATATATAAAAACTCTTGGAGAATAAAAAGAAAGAAGAAGAAAAAATGGGATTATGCAAATTTGGGTGATAAATTGGTGGGTCATTGCCTAACAAAACAATGTGGTTCCATATATTTTCAGTTCTTAAATATACTTGGGACAGTAGTATTCTAAACATTGATGTAAATTAGGTGCCTCAGTTATTGTTTGTCCAACTACAGAAAGTGGTGGAGATAACCATAAATAGTTTATTTTTTAAATGGTGATTTAAAACTATTCAAGGATCTGCACTTATTAATAACGAAATTTAGTGATTATTGTAAACACAGACTTCAAAACCTGGTAATTAAAAAATTTCTTTCAAACTTAATTATGTATTTTCAAGTAAAGCAAAAGGGTTTCATTTATAGCATCCTCTTAGCATGTAAAACAAATCTGTAACCCCTTTTTAACCACAGTGCCAACTACCTGTTAAAAGCCACTAGGTTTTGAACATACCCATATTCCCCATCCATCGCCATCGGCAGCTCGTTTCCGCCATCCACCCCGCCTCATACTGAAGCTTCTGCAGAGGAAGAACAATGCTTGATCAATTAAATGCTCATCAGTGGCATTTCAATGATGGCACTACAGGCCACTTACAGATTACCACAAAGATTAAATTTTTTCAATCAACTTCACTAAAGTATTGAGAGTTTCACAGCCAATCTAGCAACGCAAGATCACATAAAAACCTGATTTCTCAGTTTTGTAGTAATGCATACTGTGGTTCCTGCAACATATCAAAAACCACACACACACCTTTTACTTTATTCATCCTGAATATAAAAAACTCCTTACAATGTTCACTGTTCGTTACAATTTATTAAATTCTTTCTGTTCATCATACATCTCCTATAAAAAAAGGAATAATAAAACGTTCTTAAATACAACTGCTAACATCCATGCAAAGTATTGTCTAGGTCACGAACAATCTTTTATTTCCTATTTGATACCACAGACATGGTGTGATGCGGGCAGCCACCTCCTGGTATTAGAGACAGGATTAATTTCACCAATGGATTTACAGCTGATTATAAAACATCCAAGCATATGTTGCTGTAATGAAACACATCACAAATACATCAAAGCATAAAACCAAAGGTGATCTTATGGTCAAAGAAAAGCCAGCTGTTTAAGTGACCTAGTATGATCTACGGTTAGGTTTGTGATTTGATTCTTTGGGGCTTTTTGTTTGCATTGCTTAATAAATAAATTTCAAAATAAACAAACCCAACCAGCCAAATTTCAGTTTTCCTTTATGCAAGACACTTATCCCTGGACCACAAGTTGAACACAGCTGTGTCCCTAGATGAGCTATTAGTTGGCTAGAACAGAACTCCTGGATAGAAAAAGCAATGCTTGGAGTGTGGCCAACTGTTCACTGCACCCAAGTGATTCATATTTACTATAGCTGTTGTAAAACTGATTTTAGAATATTGATTAATGATGTGGTAAGAGCATGAGGTCACTGCCTGCTATTACACTGCTCAGTTTCCAATCAAAATAGTTCTCAAAGTAAAAAGACAAAATAGTCTTTTAGGTCTATCAGCTCTTAGAGGATCAGGACAAATCCCTGAAACAAGACCCTGAAACTAAAAAAGGTGACTGTCTTAAGTCTTCTATTTCATTAAATATTTCATTTATATTCCTTTATCATCCCTAAAAACCATGCAAAGCTACAATAAATACACAGAAGGAAGTAGACTGTTTTTATTTCCATTCTTGCCTGCTTTTGAGTCTCTGGACTATCCACAGCATTGTCCAGCAACTAGAGCCCAGAAGCTTCAGTCTCCAGCTTACCAGAAAGTACATACAGTTGTGGATGGAGATGACAACACTTTCTGGTCATTTTCCTATCCAGGCCTTCTACTGCACTGTTTTGGAGAGTGCCTCATTTATTGTATTAATATTCCATTTCTTATGAACTTAGCCGAAAGTGAGCTCTAGCTTTTGTCTCTTAATTCCCTTTTGTCCTAGAGGACTAAGCAAGCGCACTCTGATATCCAGCTAAACCACCGTGGATTGCAAAATAAGACACAGCTGCAGCAGAAGTTTTCATAAGTACTATAATTTTCATGGACTACTACAAATATGCCAAATTAGGCAACCACAGAATTATAGTCAAAGAAAGTAGCAGGTATTTTGAAAAGGTAAGCGTCTGTTTTAAGTTTCAGGACATCCACAAACAAAGAAAGATCATGATGCACTTGGTTCTATGCTAACAGTATAGATATGCATTGCTTCTAACTTGATACACAACCGACATACACGTTGTTGTATGTGCAATTGAGAAGACAATCACATGTCAAGGAGATAAGCCCTACACCAACATCCAAAACAAAGCAACCCCTTCTCAGATTGCTGTATTTTCCCTCCGGGTACCTGCATTTCTTATCCAGAGACCTGTTTCCAAGACATCAGGCCTTCTGAAATTAATTTTTAGTGGTTTGGGTTGCATCTAATAGATACCACAGAACTCTTAAAGAACACTGAGGAAAAAGAGGAGATCAGCTAGATGACCATATAAGATACAAAACTGATACTTTTTTCCTGTAGATAGTGTATAGTGAAAATGGCTTGATGACATCTTTCATATGGAAAATTTGTATTTTTCTATCGGCTGAAGTGAAATGCATTTCACATCTATCACTTCCGGCTAAGAAATTCTTTGAAAAACAGAAAAGTATACGTTCATGAAAAAAGAAAAACCATGAATGAAAATGTCATCTAGTTGGTTTTTTTTGATACTGCAGATATCAGTGTATGAGCTCATAAGAGACACCAGAATCTTAACTAATGATTACTCTTTCTCCCTATTACTAAAGGATGGCAAAGTCTTAAAAGGTGGCTACAAAAATGCCAGCGGCTCTCTCTTCATAATGAGCCACATGGAGAGCACAAGATGCAACAGACACAAGCTGCACCAGGAAGCTTCATCTTTACATAAGAAAAATAGTTTTTAGAGTGAGAACAATCAATAACTGGAATGCAGGGACCCAGCAGAGTCCTCATCTCTGGAGATTTTCATGTTGCAACTGGACAGGGCACCAGAGAACCTCAACCAGGCTTCCCTGCCCATGAAAGGTTGGACTAGATATTCTTTTGAGGTTATTTCCAATCTGGGTTGTTCTAGGATTCTAAAAGTATCAAAGAAAAAACTCATACAAATATAAACTTTTGCTCTGAAAAAAACGAAGACTGTACAAAATGCATACTCTAAGTCATCACAACTCTAATCACTGAGAAGACAGGATTTGATAGGTCTTAACTCTGACTCCTATACAACAACCTCCTGCTTAAACTAAAATATCTAATGCCTGATAAACTGAAGAACTGCCTTCGTAAGAGTGAGCTTTTCTGAAACCTTGAAACATGTTTCATTTTTATTCGGGACACTGGAAGGCGAGCAAGAAAGATCTCTAGTCTGAAAGTGAAGCCAATTAAAATCAGAATCATGGTTATGTGCCTAGTTTGATTAAAATTAGAAATCAAACAAAACTACTTAGGTCAAGGTGCAAAAAACATGACACATCAGTTGCTCAGAAGTTGTCTTCCTAGAGCCTGCAAAACTAGAGAAACTAGACTGTAATGCCTCCTTAAAACATCTGATAGTGATTTACCATTTCCTTAGCAGATGCAATTTTTGACTCAGTCCACTTAAATTCTGAACACACAGGTTAGGAACATGGTACTTCAGTGATTACTAGATGTCTCTGGCTCAAGTGTTCCCTTTCAGGGTCACGGATTATTTTCTTAATACTGATATGAATACCTGGGAGACTAGTTTCTCCCTTTATAGCTCCAGCAACTGAATGATGAACCAAGGTTCCTGGACTACAGAGAAACCTCTCTGCTAAAGACTTGTCCTTACAGTGTGAATTTTTCCTTGAAAATGAATGTAACCTCTTACAGCTGCCTTGCTGAAACCTAAGCAACAAATGAGCATGAGAAATATCTTGCCCAAGATATATCAAACCAGAGGAAAAGTTAAGCAAGACTTTAAACATGCTCACCAGTTCGTAAAATAAGAAATGTAAGGATGGTATGATGCTCCCCCTATAGGAATCATGATGAAGGGATGAGTAAGACAAACACTTCGTAAAAAACACGTGAAGGTGGGAAGTAGATGAGGTGTGGATGAGTAGAAATCAAGACAGAGGACTTCAAACAGCCATCATAAGTCAACTTCAGACAAGAGCTCATCTTTCTTGTAGTTCTTTAACTTGTTTCAGAACAGTTTTGTTTGCACAAATTCTTTAACATGGCTAAGGGACCAACTCCGACCAAAACAACAGGTATTATGGGGAAAAACAGTTGGCAGCACAGATCTGTATTCTGCAATGACTCTGCAAGAAGTGAACATGGATTGTCATGAGCTTTTTAATTCCAGTGCAGTACTAGTCCCTGCTTCTGTCATACGTTTCAGCACTCTCTCTGCCAAGCATATATACAGTGCAGAGGTATTTCTGCTACCTCTTCAAGTAGCCAACTTGAATCTGGCAGAATATAAACTTTATGGTTCTGCCCTACATGAAACTTATGAACTATTTCCAAAGGCAAAATGAGGCTGCACTGTGACTCAACAAATAACCCTGCCAAAGTTGTGTCTAAACACATCACACAAGTAATGTTCCATCCAGATAATCCAATTTTTGGTAACTGAAAGCTGTATGGAAGTATAACACACTATAACAGCTAGTCTGCATCTCTGACCAGAGTAGACATGCTGCCATTGTCCTCTGATGCAAAAGAACTTGATTTATTTAACATATTCACATGCCACAAGCCTATATAAAATGTGTAACCCCAGCAGAAATATGGGTGTCTTGGGCCACTGCTAATGAGTATCAGAATATTTTCCTTGAACTGTAGATTGAACTCATCCCAGCTCAGCAGGGCTTAGAAGCTTTTTCCATCAAGTGGGCATTCTGTGGCTTGAGTTTCATGCCTCTACATTCCAGCTCCCATATCAAACTCACCACTCTGCTTGGCACTAATCTTCAAGCTCTTTGAGCAAAGAAATCTTATGTGTTTTCACATTTCTAAGCACGAGTCCTATTTTTGGCTGAATCTTCTGGAAAAGAGCTGCTGCTACAGGGTAGAAAACTATTTTCTACCACATATTAAGAAGTCCAGAATCCAGCAAAAAGAACTTACACAAAAAAGTCAAAAGCTTTTTTAAAAGATACTATATGCTTAAACACCTGTGATTTCAGACAATTCAGGGTTAGCACTACTATTCCATACTAAAATTACTAATTAGTACATAGCAAAGCAACTGAGTTTTATTCTAGGTGAGAAATAAAGTCTCAGGGTGAAGTTTCATAAGATGTTTGAGTCAACTTGTTGGCTGACTGATACCAAAAGGGAAGAGTCTGCTCTTCAGCCTCTGCTGGCCTAACAGGCTTTATCCCTTCTTCCCCTCTACAGTACTTCCAAGCTCACATGACCCTATGTTCACACTGATGCTACGTGCAGTTCAGCTCACTAAATCAACAGAAAATTGACATCATTTTATGGTTT